GGGGGGGGGATACTTTTGTTCCCCATGGTCCCTGTGTGTGTTGTAAAGAAGCCACCACTACAACTTGCTCACTCCCTTGATGGACTACAATCTCACATTTAGTTTACTAGTTTGTTTTGAGATTGTAGTCCATCACAAGCGAGCTTGGACCGGTGGCTACTTTGCAACACACACAGGGACCATGGGGAACAAAAGGAGCCACCCTCCAGAAGGAAGGACAGTGTCAGCACCAATCCAGAGATGATTTGAGGATCTACAGCTGTGTGATGCACAAATAAGATACATTTTTGGTAATAGTTAAAGTACTTAAATGCATTTAAAAGGTTTAACTTCTGAGTTTAGTGCCACTTCAGTTGCAAATTTGACTTTTTTGTCAAAACCTTCTATAACAGTATTTTTCATTACATTATAGCAATTTCCAAATTAAAAACACAATTGTAATGGGGGTTTTCTAAAACAGGAGTCAGTACGTTGGTTATCTGGTATCTTTGAGCAAGGAGATTTTGGCCCCCCTAACAAGTGTGAATTCTGCAGCTTTTTTCACCATACTGTAAAGTGTCCCTAACACTAAACTAAACCTTTATGACCATTAACAATTAACCTTCAACACTTGTCCTTCTCCCTAAAACCTAACCCTTTCATTAAAAAATAATACAACAAGTTATTGCTACCCAAGCAATTTTATATATTACAGTTATTAAAAGCTACACTTCTATTTCAGTGTGCAGTCTGTAGTTATTCAAAGTTGTAAAGAAATTAAAATGCACCTTCTTTGCAATATGTCTACCTATAGGTCTTCTGTAGATGACTGATGTACATATTGCCACCAAAAACAGACATTTTCAGAAGTCTGCACTTAGATACAAGTTTAATTTTAGGTATCCTCTGCAGCAGGAGATTCATTATTAGGGCGATATCCCCTAAGGCCTGTCCTCGCTAAATGGATGCAGGCATTGCACCCTTTATCATTAGAACACTGAAATATGTCCAATTTATAATGAGGTATACCCCCCTATTCAGAAATCAGTGTCAAAAAGGACATGGTGAACTAAACAGCTATTTATTTTTAAGGTCAGTATGAAATATGAAAGTATGAATCTGCGAAAAGCTTTGCAATGTATATAGATCACCTAAAGGGATTTTTTGTTAACACAAAATACACTTTAAACCTAAATTAAGCCCTAACCCAAGTAATATGCCATATTTTATGTTCCCTGCTAACTCTAGTGTTGTAGGAGAAAATTTAGAAAACTCACTTAGACCAGTAAGCCACGCTCAGCTGGACACAGTTGTGATAAAGTGGCTGGAAACAAACTCAAACCCGAACTTTTCTCCCCACAACAGCAGTGTTTCCAAACCCCTACAGTGTTCCCTGAGTGGAATTTTATGTGGCCCTCCTATGATAATATACAGAAATATATACACCATTTTTACCCACAAAGTAAATCTAAAGGTTATTCAAAAGAAAATTAACAGATCACATGGAAAACATACATTGTCATGTTGCTCTTTTCTCCACCAGTCCTGAAAAAAAAGACAGACTGAATAAGTTTAAACTGCTTCAGAAATGATTTGCTAGTCTCAGATCTAATAATCCACTCCATGCATTTCACCCTCTTTCAGTATAATAAGGTCTTTGTTTGAACATAGCAAATGATTGTATTTTACAGTTCACTTTCATCTTTTCAACTTGACCACTGAATAACATGATTAGCAAAAAAGAAAATTAGCAATAATTAAGAATCTCACACTCTATTAATTATTTCCAGAACCCCCACAAAGTATTTAATTCCGCTGAAATTGTGTGAATTCTCTAAGTGCTTCTTCATAATTATTTTCTTCATAAATAAGTTAGAAATTTTACATTTCAAATTTGTTCAAAATCACACATGCAGTCGGCATATAGTTAGAAAAAGAATGCAGAAGGCGACATGTCTCCTTACTTGGCATGAGCTGCAGAGGGTTGAATGAGGTCTGTTTTTATGCTGCAGAGAGAAAGTTCAAGGCAAGTATAACAGAGATATTCAGTTAACTACAAGCAATTACACAAAGAGCAGTGTCATATAAAAGACCATTTGCATAATAGTTTTTCCTGCTATAGATCATACACATGTAAAATGAAAATACTCACTGTAAAAAAAAAAATATCAGTTAACTGGAGAGCTGCACAACAAGGAATCTTCAGTGATTGCCAACTTTTTCCTGGTTATTGGATTTATTAAAATGACTTCTGGTCAATGACAGCATGCCCTGCCTTTCAGTGATTATTGTCTGATTGCCAGCCAGCAATGAATAAATGCAGACATGACTAACACTGGGGTCTGTTCACAGCATCAAAATATATATTATGCGATGATCAATGTTTTTTTATAATGTAAGTAGCTCACCAATGTTAGCAGCACCAACATTAACACATTTTCAGTGCCCCGTTGACAGTCATCTTTTTTGTTCTGCATATGCTCATACCTACCTAACAAGATTCATGTTACAATCTTTCTTACTTAAAAACCCACAAGGCACCTACAGTATATTTTCCCTATAATCACTTTCTTCTCAATCCCCCTATTTGATGTTCCATTGGCTCTCTCACAACACCTTCAGGATCACTGCCACATTTTTGGCATCAGTTGACACATCCCTATTCTACAGTAGCTCTTTAAAAATGTGCATACTATGCTCTAAAACCTCATACAGATTCCTTTTGACTCTATACCACCTGATTGACCCGGTGTTCTTCTGGACCCATATACATTTCACAGGTACTGTAATGTGCAATGCCATATTAAATTCTTTGTCACTGATAAATTAATTAAAAAATTACAACAAAGTTAGTCTAGAACTAGTTAACGGCAAAGTCCACCATTTAGAAAAACAAATATTAAATGCACAATTCTTTATAAAAGAAAAAACAATTATCAATGGTGCAATGCTCTGGCTACTGTGGATCCCAGCCATATCTGTATTATGGACAGGAGGAAAAACGAATGGACTACAAGTATGGCAATGCAACCCCACTTGTACGCCAATGAGAACTAGAAGTCATTCTGCCGCTCTGGCTGATGGGACTTATACTTTATCCATTCACAGATCCTGTCATAGCAGCTGTGAATGGATATTGTAGCTGTGCGGACAGAGCTGAATTTAAAAAAAATGCCACAAACCTGCAGGGAAAAGTACCCTGCAATTCAGATTAAGTGGGGGATTAGGGGAGTTTTAAGGTTGCAATGTGAGCATGCTTCATGTTACACCCTGATTATGGGTGAAACATGAAACCTGGTCAGAAGAGTAAACTTATCCTTATATGATCTTCAATCTGGTGCTAAATGACAAAGCCCAGGACTGATGGGCAGTATTAACTTTGGGAGGGGCATGATAACTCTACTGTTAGTAAAAACTGTGTAAAACCCCCCCCAGAAAAAATCAATATACCAGGCAACCCAGTCACCTAAAATGTACAGTCAAATAGGGCCACTACCAGGGAAGCTTACAACACATCTAAAGAAGACTCTGGACTACAGTTGGCATATATTTTCAGTCTTTTATAACGTGTTCAGACCCGCTATATCAAAGCAATTTACCTGGTGAAGCCTGAGTGACTAAAAATGTTGTATAACACTTGAAAAAAACAATGTGCATTATCTGGGTGCCTGGTCTCAAAGGGACAACACAGAGCAGATAGGTGGTAACTGAAGAACAGGCAGTATTAAAAACCTACAGTCGTGGCTGCACACAAGCAAACTTTGGAAAAACAAGGAAATGTAATAAAAGAATGAACAATGTTGTATTGGCTACAATATAGTACTGTTCTGTTTCTGACTGTAGCTACATGTATATAAGGTCATGTGGGTATTTTGTATCATGCCATATTGCCTAACAATTTGCTGCATGAATTCCATAATGTGTATTTGAATTCTACTCTACTTCATTACATTATTCGCTTCTAAGTCAGAAAGGTCATGATCTGTGTACAATGAGAATAAAAGATGGTGGTCTAGTAAAGAAAAAAGTAAAGCAGGAACCAAATCGGCCATGCACCATAACAAGACTGGAGTTTTACTGAATAATATAGCACAGGAAAAAAAAACTGTCAGATTCAAGTTTAAACAAGAAAATGACAGCTGGAGGAGTAAATTGTTAATGTGATCGGTTGCGCTGGAACTATATACTTCTTATAAGAAGCCTGTTAATAAATAAGGACCTGTGGTTTCAACACACAACCCTGGTAGTGTCTATGACATGATGGGAAAACAAATATATAGAGCATTGGTTTTTCTCATTTGCATAGCTCTATCAGAAAGGAGAAGGTATTTGCTTTTAAAAAGCTAAATCTTCAAAAGTTAAAAGTGAATTCTATTCTGAATCAGAATAAGTGTCCAGTATGAGTTTATAGCAAGGTTTCTGCATAAATGCTCTTGTTAGGCATGCTTTTAGTAACCAAGGTATAGCAGCATCTGATGACATGTATTCCTTACAGGTTTTCTGTCCTCTGGGAAGAGATCAGTACTCTTAAAATTAGCTAAACATTTTATTGACCACATAATGTTAGAATACCAGGAATTCGCAGTGAATGTTTAGAAATTGCACAGAACACACCCTCATCACACCACTTACAAAGTCATACTGAACAACAGAGCTCTTCTTCTGTCGCTGAAGTTGCTAATGAGACTCAGGCAAATTAAAAACTATAAATATTAATGGTTTACTAATAGACTTTCGCCTTGTGGTATCATTTGCCTAACATAAACAGGAGATATTAGCATGCATACGATTCTTCCTGCTAAGATACACTACATAAAGTTGATTTGTAACAAGAGATACAGCCATCTTATTTAGTCTTGCTAAATCACTGCAACTAATAAAACTGCTCTGCAGATTTTTTTCTGCTTATATTTGTTTGATGAATATACCTACATACTTCCTATTTATCATTTCAAGCTATGATTAGTTTAAAAGAAAACTATGGCCAAAACGTTTTTGGCAGTGATTCTCTTTAGGGTCACAGGAGGACATTTACTAATGTCCTCCTGTGACCCAAAACTCAGCTATTAGTGGGCTATTGCCCACTATAGGCTGACAGTGCAGAGCCGTGCTGCAACCTGGAAGGATCCCAACAGTATTGTCAGAATCCACCCTGCTACCTGATTGACAGCTGGCTCTGCCACTCTCTGCCTGCCCTGACCCCGCCCATCCCTCCATTCAGAGCTGGAATAATGAAGAGGGGAATCCCTGCAGGGAGCAGTGACTGACAGTCACCGCTCTCTGCAAGGAGAAGATTGTGAAGTGAGCGATCAGAGGTTTGTAATTGTAGAGCGGACGTGCGACAGCTGCAGTGTCACAAGTCAGCTCTAACTATTGGGAAGAGCGTATTTCACTTATTTACCTGCAACTGATTTTTCCACAGCAATCATTTAGCATGGGTACTATCTAACATACAGCAAACTCAGTCCTAGCTTAAATAATGTTCTTTAGCTTCTTAAAACAGTCCCATCTAACTAAAATAAACAGCAACAGTGAAAAAGTGATATACTAGGAGTGTCAGATATTTAGCTAGTCCCTCCCTGCACATTCTCCATTCACTAAATCCCTACTGTGCCTGTAGTAATGTTGGAGCCTGCAGATGGAAGCATATCTAAAAGGGGGAGGTCACACCTATAAGTGTATCTGATGCTGAACATTCCTTGGCTGCTGAAGCTCTTCAAGAGAGCAAAGTTTGGCAGCACAGATGGCAGTACTGGTAAGCAGTAAAAGTTTTTTCTACAGCGAGCAGTTGCTTTAAACCAGACCTGGACAGTCTGCGGCCAGTGGGCTGTATCCGCCCCTTGGTCTGCACCTGTACCAATCGCCAACCTGCCCTCATTTATGGCTGGCTGACAGTGGATGCACTGGCCTCAAAGGCCAGTGCATCCACTGCAAGCCATAGCCCAGCACAGGATTCATTGCATTCCTCTTCAGTCCTTGGATGCTAGGACTGCTGGGCAGTCCTAGTAACCAATGATGTCAGGTGTCCTCCTCTCTGCAGTTACTGGTTGCTAGGACTGCTGAGTGGTCCTAACAACCAATGATAATGTCTTTCTCCTCTGTCCTCTCCTGCACCTCCAGCTGGCTCCAGCATGTGAAAAAAAAGGTATGTGGCATATATTTACTTACAGTACAACACATACAATGTGTTGGGACAATAACGGTTCATTAAGGGCCACCTCACACCTATGCAGTGCATTTAAAGCACAGTACCATGCAACACACCTACCTACAGCACCTACAGTGCGACAGGTGCGCTGTGTGGCACACACTACTTTTTTAAACCGCATGACACAGTATTACAGTACCACGCGTTGTGGCGCAGTCTGAATAGCAATGCAACGTACCTTCCACACTGTAGGTGCAATACATGATACCATGCATTAATCATATAAGAAAATGGGACTGCTGTGCAGGGATGAACCAATAGGCCCCATTAATAAATTGCTCACCCCTGCTTTAAACAAGTCACAGGAAAATCTAAAGGTACCCATAAGCATGAAGAAATGTTGACTAGAATTGGTCATTTATGGGCAGATTAGGAAACAGTTATATCTCTGCCGGCTCCTCCACAATCCTAGTGGAGCCTGCTTGGGGGAAATTAAGCTGGGATGGTTGTTCCTGGCTGATCGATATTGTTTCTCTTAAGGCCTTTAGCAATCCCTCTTCCTCCTTCATAAGAGTTAAACTCATGCGATTTAAATTGCATGTTTAGAAAACTATCCCTATTAGAAATATCAGTTAGCAGCCAAGTTGTGCAGGCATGGATAGCCGCCATCTAATGTCGGCAGGCATCTTTTGAACACTCTTTTTCACTCTACATGGATGAGCAGGAGATGTGACTATTTGTCATATAAGTATGCATTACCAGTGAAAGCAGGAACGTGACCGCAAAGAAAGACATGACACAGTAAATTAAATACGAACAGTGAAATGTGTAAAAATGTCACGGTCATCACAGTGTGGTCCCAGAGACATGAATATATTCCAAGGACAACACAAACTAACAGCATAAACCATGTCAAAAGTTTAAATAAGTAAACAGAAAGAAAAACATGAATCCTTGTAAACTACATTCTAGTTAATTGAGTCCCTTTGGTTTTCAGGAGCTTACAGATGTACTTTATTTTCTTTTATCAAGACAAGGGGGCTAAGAAGTGCAGAGATTAAATCATTTTTGCTTTGTACTGGGAGATCTAGAGCAGATGATAGTATAAGGTTAATATATTCACTGAAAACTGGCTTCAGGCTCTGTATAATGTGCAAGTAATTCCTCACACAAGTGCTAGAACTTAAAATGATTGCTCAACAAAGTGACTTTCAAAAGTTGAATAACTCTATTGTAGAGCCATCAGACGTGATAAGAAAAAGATGCATAAGTGAAGTACCAGGGATGTATGCAAAAGAAAAGGCTACAGATACCCTTGTAATCACACTGGAAGCACAGCCAGGAACAAATATGGGTAGAGTCCCATATCAAATTATATCATACCAGCTACAAAGATGTTATGATGCAAACATTCATTGTGTCGTGTTTATGAAGTGACTATGTTACCAAGTCAAAATGACTGCTTTAACCTAAGATAATGTTGAAAATTTCTTTTCTGCAACCCTTTCCTAAACAAATTTAGAACATAAAACTTTCAACAGCAAAAACAGGAAAGACTACATAGACCACAGAGAGGCTTTAGGAAATACAGACATTTTGAATTTTGCTATTAGCATACATTTTAGCGATCATAATGGAATACTTATGGGAACAGTTTATCAAATAGAAAGGCTGAAGACTTCAAACCCTGATTGCACACTTTTCCCTTTTCCTTGGCTGATAACCAATAGGGCTAGCAAAACTAACCAATACAAATTAATACCCAGAAAATAATATGGGTTTGGCAGACACCTAGTTCACCATAAGGCTCAATTCACAAAGCTAACACACCAGGATAAGGATCTTTAAAAAAAATACTAACAGTTTATTTTTTAGCTGACTCAACCTAGATTTGAAAATGATAGTTGCATAGCAAAAATGTTAAAGGATTAGTTCACCTTTAATGAGATATTAAAAAACAAAATCCATATACACTGCCTGTCCAAAAAAAGGTCACACACTTATATTTTGTTGAACATCCTTTAGCTGTGATTATGGCACACATTAACCATGACATCATTTTGATAAGCTTATGCAATGTCACTATTTCCATCCAGAGTTGCATTTATATTTAACCAAGATCGTGCAGTGATGATGGGAGAGTTGGACCACTGCATAAAGTCTTCTCCAGCACATTCCAAAGATTTTAAATGGGGTTAAGGTCTGTAATTTGTGGTGGCCAATCCAAGCGTGAAAATTAATGTCTCATGCTCCCTGAACCACTCTTTCACAATTGGAGCTCAATAAATCCTGTCATCTTGGAATATGCCTGTGCCATCAGGGAACAAAAAATCCATTGATGGACTCACCTGGTCATTCAGTATATTCAGGTAGGCAGCTATTCCCAATTTTTGGGCACATAACGTTGCTGAACCTACAACTATTATCCAATTGAAGAGTTTTACCTATTTGCTCAGCTAAATCCTGGTGGTGACTTTTTTTGGACAGGCAGTGTACATTACAGTTTAGATTGTAAGTTAAAATACTGTCTGCCATTTTTAAAAATGATTCTTACTTTTCTTACTGCTGCTACCATGGTATTCCCACCTCCGTGAATGCACAACCCCAGCTACTTACAAATAAGCACTCGAACTATGAGAACTGGGCTTGCCTAACCATGCATTAGCAGTCCGCTTTCTCTCACACTCGCTGATCACTGAGCTCAGCCGGTGCTGCAAGAGAGAGCAGACTGCACATGTGTGGTTAGGCATGGGCTGGGACCATCCATTGGTCGCTCTGTTCTGCCATGAAGGCGTGATGGAGAGGAGGAGCCCTCGGTAGCAACAGTAAGGGAAAGGAATCATTTTTAAAAACAGAAGACAGTATTTTAATGTACAATCTAAGTTGAAATGAATGTGAATTAAAGGTGAAAGAAATCTTTAAAGCTTTGGGAGCTAAGCCTATAATCATATATCACAACAGGAAAATGCTGAATTTACAACAAGAACAAGTTGGAATATAAGGTAAACACAAAAGGTTATATGTAATGCTCTCTATTATTTCTCAGATTCAGAAAAAAAACTGCCAACATATGCTGCCTTTGATGATATAAAATTGTAAAAGAAATTAGATCTATATACACAATACACAAGCTGCATGTTTAGTGCAATAACTAAGATAACCCACAGAACAAAAAACTGGAAACACATATATGTACAACACATGGGTACCTGCGTAATGCAGAATCTGTGCCAAATTCCTCATTGATAAGCTCTGCCTCACTCTGAGCAATTCTCATAGCAAGCTCCCGATCTCTTCGCTCTTGTTCAAGTATAGTCTGCTGCTGTGACTGCTCCTCTCGTTCTTTCACCATCTGCATCTCCACCTCGACCTGCATGTAGCACATGTTTACAAAAACATATCTGCTCATCATTTTTGAATTTTACATTAAAAATGATGCATGTCACTATTAAGGCATTTAATTGAAAAGGTATTAAAAAGACCTGGGGGCAAAAAGGGCATTATCAGGAAAATCACAGTATTAAAACCTTTGAATAATAACATTGTATGTATTTTGCTATGTTTGTTGCCAGATCAAGTAGTCCACTGCTGTGTTTTTTTAATCAAGACAGACCCTAAAGCAAGCAGTGGCATGCTGTTTGATTTTAGCAATTTACAAAATCTGATAATCTACTGAAAATTCATGGCCCTTGTGACACAAATGTAGAAGATGTAGCCTTATTGCTGAAATTATATGCTTATTGTAATCAACCTTTTAAATACATTGTTGAACAACATTCAGAAAAATGCATTATGCTTTTTTTGAGACACAACTTTCTATGCAGTCAACTGCAGCAAGAGGCAGAGTAAATTAAATGGAGATTTAATACATTTTCCCAAACACTAGTCCCATCAGTGATTCTCTCTCCATGCCATACAATCACCTACCCCTACTCCACACAAACCAGCTCACTGTGCCATTATTAGCCCTAGCACAGCATTCATACGGAAGTCTTAATTGTGCCAAAGGCCGCAAAATATGTTAGCTGATTATACTATTAGAGATGATTGTGATTGAATCAAATGCTTCATTATATTGTGAGGCTCTTTGACGCCTAACTCCAGCCACATTTTTTTGGGATAGAGTGAGGAAAGTTGGTGATACTTTCAAAACTCTTTCGAGTTTTGCCCATTTCCTGTTCAATCATCCGGGTGGAAAATTGTAGGCTAAACAGTGACTGCAGCCAATCAGCTATAGTCACTGAGTACCCCGACAGCCTCGGGCACCAGCTGTCAGAATACATTAGCAGGTAGGAGGTGTTGGGTAGAGTTGGGCTTTAAGTGCAAATGTAAAGTAATTCTTAGTCTTCAACTTAATTTGACAATGCATTTTGTGTCATGGATTGTCGCCATCACCTGGAACACTTGCATTGGAGGTTCTATTGGGAAAACTGGCAACTACAAGAACCATATATTTCTCCAGAAAAGTAAGCAGAATTCAGACAGAGCTGGGAATTGCGTCACAAACAGTTAAAAAGACCCTGTCACCAGGTCTATCTTTTTCGTTTAAAGCATGGTAGCAGTAGAGCAAAGACTCAGCTTACAGGATTCCCTTTTGTTCCTTTATAACCTTCTTCCTTTTTTAAAGTGTATGTAAACCCTAAAAATGAACTTCTCCTATTTGTTCCCTTTGACTTGTTAATTATATCATGGGAAGCATTTTGTTACATCTGTCTGAACAAAAACCTGTTGATCATGTCTTAAATTCAGAGCTGCCCTGTGTCTTATGCACACTTTCTGTACTATCTTATAGAGGCTAATTAGCCCTCCCAGTTCTTACAGTGGACTACAGAATGATAAGCCTTTATGTTGTAAAGATCTGAGAGTGGTAGTGGTTGAGTAGTTTAGCAAAAGACACTAGGATGACAAGAATATTGTTTTTTTAAATTAATAATCTGGGGACAGGGTCTCTTTAAGGATCTGAGGATATTTGTTAAATACAGTTGAAACAGTTTAGAAAGAATGACAATGGCTGAATGATGAAGGGAGAAAAAAAAAGAGACAGAAAATCCTTACTATGGGGTTCATCACTATTTGGGTTGAGCATCTGGCTTATTGCTTTTCAAAATAATCAAAAAAAAAAGCCATAAGGGGAATCTTGCCTATATCTCCAGTCACACTTTCAAAGGCAACAAGTAAACCCCCCCCATGAGCCCCAGATTTTTCTAGTATCTTTCGCCATATGCAATTACTATCACCACATGTTAGCTTAAGGCCCCTTTCACACTGGCCGATCAGGAGGGGATTCGTGCACATATTCCCTCCTGAATCGGAGTGGTACGGATCGGATGTCACCCCTGTGACATCCACGTCAGTCCAATGATCAGACCGCATGTCAGCCTATGGGGAATCGTATATAAGTGGACATGTGTCGGTTTACATCAGATTACCCCCGATTCGGCACGATCAGATCCAGCGAAATGGAACACTGTTCTGCTTGTTTTTCCTGACCTAGCCGAAGCCAGGATCAATGATGTTAACGGACACCCATCTGTTTAGATCTGGCTGCCCAAAGACTTACATTGGGCATCTGATTAGGTCCACCTAAAAAACTGATAGGCGGTCCAATCATGGCTGCCTGTCTGAAAGGGGCCTAAAGGCTTGCTTCTGTAATATGATGTAGTATTATTCAGTGATTGTTCTCACAATATAAAGGGAAACATATGTAATATTATTTAACAATATAAATCATTTCACTAACAGGTTCTCAGATGATAAGAGTACACTTTACACAGACCTGAATTCTTCTTTCCTCCTCTTCTCTCTTTTTCCGGCCTTCTTCTTCCTGTTTTCGCTTTACCTCAATCTCAGCCTTTCTACATTTCAATAAAACATGCAAAAATTACATTTCAGTTTAATAGTTTAGGCTGCTAATTCATGAAAGCTGGCAGATATAAAAGTTCCAACGAATGCAGTTATGTATTCATTAAAAAAGAAATGTATTTTTAAATGCAAATAGTGTAAGCACTTGACTCGGTTTTGATATCAGCCTCGTAATCTCCTGTATAGCAGCACTTAGACTGAAAAAGCAATGGTCAGCATTAAGGGCTTGTCAGGAAGGGGACCTCATCAGTCTGCTGCTTTAATGTCCAATCAGCAGGTTGTGGGTTTGTTTTCAACCAGTGTTTTGGGGCAAGCTGTGCTGCTGCAGAGGTGGTCCACAACCTGGCTATGATGGCTCGAAATGTTGCTTCGATTCCAGGGCATGTGCTACAAATTCCTTGGCAGATAAAACAATTCTTATACATATTTCAACTGTTTGTTTTGGGGTTTTTTTCAGTTGCCTATAGGGAGTTCAGCTGTAAAATGTCAGGTGTATATACTCACAGCCTCCTTTCATTTTCCTCTTTTCTCCGGAGTTCCTCCTCTGCTTCAAGTCTCTTCCTCTCTCTTTCCATCTCCTCATGAATGCGACGCAAGCGTTCAGCCTCCTCTTCCTCCTTCTTCCTCTTTTGTAGAGCATTAAGGAGCTGACCTGAACTCTTGACAAGTGCATCATATTCTTTATCTATCTGATCACGATACATTATAGTGTTCTGAAAAATAAAAACAAATTAATTCAATTATTGATGTAGATGTTTTGCTATAAAATACTAGTTCCCTTTTTTTCATCCTTGGCTGCATCTCAGTGATTTTCCTGCAGCCTCTTTGAAGCAACATCCTGTCTACATGCACTCCATTTTTCAGGGAAGGTTTTCTGATGGTGACAACATTGGACCATACCTGCGGTAAACGGCCACATGTAGTCTCCATCAGAAACCCATGTAAAGGGTGACTATGGAAGAGAGCAACATTGGGGACAGGGATAGAGCATTGTCACGTATATATTAGGTAATCTTCTTACAGATAACATGTTATCTCCTCTTGTTGTAACACTCTTGAAATAGCCAGTAGCAGGCTGGCTGTTGTACCCGCCCACTGGGCAGAGGAGTGGACCTGAGAGAGAACTTTCTATTACTATAAACTCTCAAGCAAACAGAAACTACAGTTATCCTGGATCTACCGATCCCTGTGGGTGCCAGATAACTGGGAATTTACTGTAACTATGTTTGCTTAATTCAAAAAGACCTTTTCTATTGGATTATGCTATCTATAATACCAGTGGTACAGCAGTATATAGATTAAAACTTTATTTACCAATATGGTACTTGTGGGCCAGGGCTTAGGGCAGTAGGGTAAGTGGGGGCAGCACATAGCCCCAGGCAAGTAAATTGAGGAAGAGGTGAGAGATTTTAGAAGACTTTCCATAGTCCAAGAAACAATAATGCCATCTCACCTTTGTCTTGCTACTTGGACTGTATAGTAAAAAATAGCTGTGACTATAAATCAGTCCCCTCGTGGATAGCACACACTATCATTACCTTTTATGAAATTAACTGATCCTAATAGGTTGGACTTGATGGACTAATGTCTTTATTCAACCTCAAATACTATGTAACTATGTAACCGCAACGATACAAGGGGCTGAATTTCAAGTACCTAGAAAGGCATGAAGTCTAAATAGTCCTACATAAGATGTTACACATATATACAAATATAAATCCAAAGAAATAAGGGCTGATTTAAAAAGTAGGAGTATGGCCATGCTAGAAAAAAGGGCCTGGTCACATAACCTGTCAAAGTCAAATGACTGGCTCCTGTCCAATCATTGAACACCCTCTCTGCTGCATTCAGTAGAGAGAACTATGTGGGGTATCGCAGGTACACACTGCGGCCTGTATTTTATGAATGGGTTATGGTGTGTGGGTACCAGCAGAGTATAATGGAGAGGGGATAGTGTTATCTGCTCTCCAATATAAATGTGCTCCACTAATGTAGTAACCAGTATTTTAAAAAAATCCAATACACAGTATCGGAAGAGAATGCCACAACAGACCTCGCCATTTAAAGTAGGTTATATGAAACCCCAAACATACTTTTTGTGTATGTTTACGACTCTAGCGATAAAAATTACTTGATAAAATGTATCATATTTGGCTCCTATGAAACAAAAAGAGATTTATGTGACTATTAGAGTTTGTGTTGTAGGCACATTTAAATCAATGGGACCTGAGGTACCAACAATCTAACAATTTCCATTATTCATTTTGTTCAATATTCTGTTGTTACCAGACAAAAAAAAATCAAAACCAAATTAAAAGTACAAATCTCGGCCGCACAGACATCTGACACAAATAACAGAAATATACCCTGCAGAGAATTCTTACATTAATAGCTGGCGTGTTGTGGAAAGGCACCAAAGAGAAAGGTACAACTTAAAGCCTGGCAGACATAAAATAAGAGAACAATTCAACATAAACTAGTTGCTGCTGCTAAATGGATGAATAAAGTAGCTTACTTAAAGGGAATGGAAAGTGGCTTTCTACACATTTTTGAAAATTAAATCATTAAAAAGAGGTTTTCTTTTTTATGTATTTAAGTAATTATGAAATAATGTGTATAAGTATTTTTTACTTAGACCTAGCCAGCAGGTGGAATTTTAAGCTTCTTCCTTTTTTTTTTAAGCGTATATATTTTTATTGAAAATTTTCAATAGTATAATACAGAATGCATGATGAAACATCTGCAAAGTTCACAGCATAAATGGAAACACATCAATAAAGACATCATAAATGGAGACTTGTTACGTAGTCCCATAAAAGAACTACCTACCACTACATACGATGTGTATGGGCAAGGCATATCAGGATGCAGTAGAAAAATACACAACGACATATAACTGCAAATTATGAAGCACAAGGACAAAAAACGAAAATAGAACCTCAATGGACTGATAGGGCAGTGGAACTGGGGGGAGGTTGAGGTCCCAACCAAAGAAAAGATAGAGAAAATAGAAAGTATGTTCGAAAAGTGTAAAATTTGTCAGTTGATCAAGAGCTGGAAATGATGTATTCCATGTGGGACAGAAAGGACATGTGAAAGGGTGTCAAAGGTGTATGGTGTATCAGGTCGGCAGCGTGAAGCATGGTCAGGTGGGAAACTAGGGAAAATCACCTCTGTCAGGGTGGCAGATGAGCTGTCTCACAGGACGTCCAAGGCCCCTAACTTTAGCCATGAGGTACCAGTGCGTGTTTTGGAAAGTGTCTAAAGAACAATGCTCAGCAGGTACTTCAAGGTAGCTGGCTAACACATTAACACGGTGCAAAAACACGAATTGTGCCTCAATGTTGCCGCCTCCTTTGCTTGCACAGAGAGATGGTCATGCACGTCCTCGCACTTCTGAAAATTTAAGACAAATGTAACCTTACCGAAAATACATGCAAACTTCTGCCACACTCACAGGATGACAGTGCCATTTACCAACACTTTGATCTTTCATATTTTTAATTGCATTTCCAAATATGAAAAACAGGTCTGTTCTGCTAAAATGAAGACAGCTAAGTGGTAGGACTATAAAACGTAAAGCTTATGTAATTGCCCACATGAACTGCTATCCACTGATTGTGCTCTCATTATCTGTGAACATGGAGCTGACAGGCTAATGATCCATGCATTCTTTTTGATAGAGAAAACCCTCTAAGAGTAATATGGTTAAACTGGTATTGGCAACAGCAAAGGAAACCGAACAACTTTAAAGAAAGTACAATACACAGACAGACAAAAATTGCTACATTCTAGCTGGCATAGGAAGTTTTCTACACCAGAGACTGTCCATTATCCACTCAATGAACTGGTAAGCAACAACATGTCAAGGTGCCTACAGATGAGCCTTTTATTATCTAGGAAATCTTTTCTGCAGAAATTAAACCTTTGGGGGTTTTTTTTCTTTTTATGATAAGGAGGCCTACACATGATTTGACTATTGTTCTTTAATTTCAGCTCCACAGCAGCTGAGGAGATACCCATGCCATGCACATACCCAGCTGTGACCTACGTCAGCTGTGTGCGTTCATAGACACACACAGATTGTGGCAAGCCATGCCCCTGCTCCCTCTACTGCTCCCAACAGTTTGACTGACAGCCTATGGCTCCTCTGCCCTCAGCCCACAACCAAGAAGTTTAGGGAACAACATATATCTTCCTGGACCCGGCGGAGGTGACAAGTGACCACAGGTGTTTGTGAACTGGTACATGGAAAGGTACTGGGCATTTTCTACCTTCATGAAGAGAATGCATTAAGGTAAAAAAATAGCTTTTAGTACTACTTTAACGTCTAAAAGATTTTTTGAATATTGAACACCTGGGATGGTTGTGTAAAGGCCATGTCAGAATGGTTGTGTGTTTCTATCATATGTACTGCAGATAATAGTGCCCACAGGGGAAATAACACCTACTGGGCACTCCAATCTGCTTATAAATGGCTAGCTATACTGTATTAATCTGATCCCACCATACCTAGTAATCCTATACTCTAGCCATGTGTGAACAGGTTGACAATATTCATCTAATATTTATAATCTGCACATATATTGCCAGGTTTACAATATTCATCCAATCTCCATCTACCAAATATATTTGAAATCTGTCCATGTATGGTACGCATTACCCTCTTTGTCTGAATGCTCTCTACCAAGTATACCTACAGTCTGTCTATGTATATTCAGCTTTACTGTATTCAATTGATCACCTCTACCAAGTATACATAAGGAGGGGGGGGGGATTTATCAAAGCAATTGCAACAGTTTTAGGCTCTTAGATCATTTTGTTTTATGTGCAAATCTGTCTTTCAACACGTACCCCTGTTTTGACCTGAGCTTGCACTACCTTTCCAACTACACGTGTTTTGCACCTGTTTTTACCAGAGCTTGCACTACTTTTTCAGTTGCACCTTTTTTGCACCTGTTTTCATCTGCACTTGTTCTGCGGCTATCTGAAACTGGAGCATCACCTAAGAAAACAATCACAACTTAAGAAGTCCCCATGACTACTTCTTCTTTAAGCTTTTTGCCTAAAGTCTTCTTTCCTGGAGTCTATTAAACCTAATTTATCAACAACATTACACTAGCATCATAAATCTGGTGCAAATATATTCCGTGCAAGTTCAAACACTTGCAATTGCTATGATAAATTCCCACCGTAGTCTTTTCATGTATGGCCCGCTTTACGTTATTCATCTCATTCCTCTTTAATAAGTATACCTATAGTTTTTTTTTATGTATGGCTCACTTTACTATATTCATACAATCCCCATTTACCAAGTATATCTATAGACTACAGTAAAGCTTGGGCATACATGAGTAGTCATGTGATCCCACTCTACCATGTAGCGTCTGACCATGTGTGGGAAAAACTGATAAAAAAGGCTGTTTGAGAGTAGCCTGCTCTGCGAGTCAAGAGTGGGGAGAAGACTTGGGAAACACCGGGGAGCGACGCGTTTTGCGCAAACCTCTTTCTCAAGCTCTAACGGTGTTGCTAATGGCGGGAATTCGCCGGTTTTAAAAAGTAACAGCTGGGTGGGACTTAGCGGCAACTTCGCTAGCGCCCAGCGAAGTTGCCCGCCCAGCAGGCTTCTAGTGACAGGACCGCTCTCTGCTCCAAGCACCGTCCTTACAGCTGCAGAGACAGGTGTTTGTACAGCCGAAGCTCCACTAAGTTGAATCCAGCTTTTCACCCACACACCGTCCCCATTTCTGTCCACACAGGAGTGATACTGATACAGTCCCTGCACTGCCTCGCCTCTCCCACCGGCCAGCAGTTCTCTAATCTCCAACTGCGGCCGACATCTCCTGCGACTACTTCAATCTCCGATCCTGGACCCCTCGATCCTCCTAGAAAGCCGCCCCTCTCCTGGTCCTCCCCCACTCAAATGAAAGTGTGTGTTTTCCTTTACACAATTTTTTTAATACAATCTGTCAGTACCAATGTTTTAATTAGTTACCCTACAAGTTTTGCACCCTGTTGTGAGTTTTTATTTTGCAGCAAGCACAGGTCCTCCTACTGTTTCTCAGGGCAGCATACTGCATATTGTGTAGCTTGAGCCCATTTCTCGAGAGCGCTGTTTGTCCATTTATACCATGTATAGTGTGTGACCATGTAGGCAAAGCATTACTGTATTTATCTGATGCCTTTCTGCCAAGTATACCTAAGGTCTGGCCACGTATAGGCAGATTAACTGTATTCATTTGATCCTTCTCTAAGAAGTATCACTATAGTCTGCACATAAATGGTCAGTTTTAGTCTACCTATAAGTCTATAGTCTACCCATGTATCGTCAGTTTTAATGTGATCATCTGATCCCTCTACCAAGTATATGTATGCCAGCTCTATAACAAGTAAAATAGCAATGACAAACATCTAAGAAAAAGCATTGCTTTCAAAGCACCCAATACATTTTTGTTCTGGTACAATAGCAATCACTTCAAACATTACTGTCAATGTGACTTGCAGAATAAAAAGCTTTCTGCTTCATGAGAATAGAAAAAAAAAGTATACAATGCAGGTGGGGAATGAAGCCGATCAACTTCCTTTTACACTGATGATGGTTTACAAATGGGATTATGCTGATTAGCAATTACAATCCTGCATTATAACAAATTGCATATATGCAGTCAGTATTGGTGTTAATGTTGCTTCATTGAAATGTAGAAAACAAGCACAGCTGTTAACGTGATCTGCCAGAAGCTTCACTTGCAGCTGTGTAAGGGATGACTGTGTCTTACATTCTATAAATCCTCATCTGGCAAGCTGTACATCTCTCAGTAATGCATTATCAGAATCCATGAGTACAGCAGTGAAACTGTATCCAACCATCTATCTAGTGGCGAGGAAAAAAAACCCAGACGAATCGCTATCCACTGATTAGCAACCTGTGCCTCATTATCTGTGATCATGGAGCTGACAGTCTAATGATGATCTATGCATTCTTTCTGATAGAGCAAATCCTCTGAGTGTAAAAGGCTTAAATTGGCACTGGCTACTGCAGAGGAAATTTACTGCAACTTTATAAAAAGGTACATTACTCAAAACAGAAATTGCTAAATTTTAGCTCGCTTAGAAAGTTTTCCGGATCACAGAGTGTACTTTACAGCACTTTAACCTTTCCCAAATATCACATATACCAAGACTTGCATAGACATTAAGAACGTCTGTAATTCAGCGAAAGACAAAAGATAGTTCATACATTTAAAGGGTTGCAAAACATAAATATTTTACGCAGCAAAAGTTAAATGTTTAATTTTTAAGCATATTTGGATCTTTTACATATATAATGTTGAATGTCCCTATTAATAGCTCTTTCACAATGTCCTTTTTGTGTTTCATGTTTAGTTATACTTTCACAAACTTAAAAAATATTTACGTTAGGACCCATGCTCATAAGCCTTTGCCTAATGCTTCCATGGATCTCTATTCTGAGAAGAGTAAAAATAATACAGAATAGCATAGGTGTCACGACTGCTGTATAAAAAACGTCATGTTTTGCTAGCATTGCATAAAAAAACTGCATGACTAGCAATATTTGCATTCTGCAGTGTGTTCACAAAAAAGAGGTGAAGGGCCTGATCTACATAATGTGCTGCAAAGTAAATGTGAGCAATGGTGGGACAGTCACCTACTGACTAAATCAGAGTTTCTGCTTTGAAAGATAAAATCTAAAAGCATCTACTGAATGTTTGTCCCAGTTTCCTCTGCCTTAACCACTGTGACCACTCTTGTGCAATAAAATCCGTGCTTTTAGATGCAGAGATTTTTAAGCAAAGAGTGTATTTTAAAAAATCCTATAATCGTATAAATTATATAATATGTTTGTATGTTATTTGTATATTTGTAATATATTTATATAATTGTTTCATAACTTTTGGCACTAATGATTGTATAACAATAAGTGGGACAAAAGCTAGAGTTAAAACTAGCAGTCCCAAAATCACATTAAGAATAAAGAGACCTCAGCTCTTTACTTGAATCTGATGGTGGATCTGACAGTGTGATCATAAAGGAAAATAAGATTACCTTCTAGATGGCTGGAGGATGCAACTACACTAGAAACTTTAGGTATCACTACTTAGTTTGAGGGTTAGGGATATCTACATCTATAGATTTGTTTTCTCTACAATGTCTAACTTGACTGATGTATGAGGGTTTCAGGACATACTGGTCCTCCCCATGTCTTTAATTTCAGTGGCAGCTGCATAAGCCACTATGCTTAATGCTACATACCATTTACCGACCACTGCAAATTAAAGCAACCAGTTACAACGGTGACAAACATTTGTAGTGAATGCTAAATGCACCATTCAGATTAGGTAAAAGGATGCAACCTAATGCAGTGTTTCTCAATCCAACATTACTCTGTACCCCTTTCAAACAATTAATATTAACCAGGTACTCTTTGGTGTGTGCTAGAATACACTTTATCTTTATTGCTATTGACTTGTGATAAAAATGCAAGTCATTCCTATGGACAGCGGAGAAGAAAAGAGAGGGGCACTGGCAGACACTGATGACAGGTGCTTTCATCTCAGGAGGAAAACATGCTGACTGTAATTTGCCTAATCAATGTTCTTCTTGGGAGAAGCTGTGAGAAGTGCTGGTCTAGTGACTGTCATTTCATTTATTGGCAAACCGAAAGTATATCACAAGTACCCTCTAAAGCCTTGGTTCTCAACTGGTAGGTCGTGACCCAAAAGTGGGTCGTGACCCCGTGTTCAGTGGGTCGCCGCACGCCTTCCACTTTTCTAGGTCAGAGCCTCCCCCTATCACAGCAGTGTCTGTTCTAGCTCCAAGCAGCCATTCAAAATATTCTGCCCGGCACCGAGTGTCAGCTTGAGGTGGGGTGAGCTGCAGCTATGGCCGCGAGGGAGCTCCATCCATGCGTGCATTTCTTACAGCTTCCTTGAATGACCTGTAGAGGTGCCTGGACCGGAGCGATGTCACATTCTGGCTCCAGGCACCTCTACAGGGTGCACAAGGGAGCTGTACAAGCAATGCACATTTGGATGGAGCTCCGTCACAGCACAGCAGCCCACACTGGATCCCAAGCTGAGGATCCACTCCAGTTCCTGTAAGGTAGGGAGACTAGGTGGTTCTTAAAAAAAAAAGAAGAGAGAAATAAAAATGTATTTTTTGGTGTATATGTGTGTGAGATTGTGTCTTTCGTTGTGTCGATCTGTCAGTGTTTTTGAGGGCCCGTTCGCACTAGTACAGTGTGTTAATTGAACAGTCCTGTGCCATTAAAGGACTGTATAATGCAATTGCACCTACTATGAGTTCTGGTGCGGGAGGTGCGTTGCCATTCATTTGAATGGCACCCCAAACACATCTCCCACCCACAGTTCAATTGCCTGCACCGGAATGTGCGACCAAGGCCAAATGTGGGTCCTGAGGTTACACAGGTTGAGAACCACTGCTCTAAAGAGTGTATTGTTAGTACCTCATACGTTTCTCTGCAATGCTTTACATGTAAAAGAACTACAAAACAACAGTATTTTTTTCAAAGAAGTAACACTAAGCGTTTGTTAGGCTGGGTTTCATAGGCTGGGTTTCATTTCACACGCATGAACACCTTGGATCCATTGGGGTAAAATAATCAACTCTGCCCTGCTGAATTCCTCTCAATGAATTTCATAGTTAAGTATCACCAGCATCATGACTTTCAATAAACCTTATGGCAGTGTCCATTTAACTAGACAAGAAAGTGCGCATGAATAAAAAATAAATACAAAAAACCCCCTAAAATTCCTTCGAAACCCAAGAAAATACACGTTAGATTATAGATTATTTAAAATTTCACACTTAACTGAACCCTTCATTAATAAAAGGACTAATAACATTTCCTCTTGACCAATTACTAAAGAGTACAAATCGTATATGAACAGCTCTGATCAGATAGTACTCACTTCAATCTAAACACAGTGACCGCACATCAAAAATTCAAAGGCATTCTTATCAATGTGAATCATTCCAAGCACAGTAGGCATATTATCTGTGATGGGCCTTTTTACGAGCATCATTGAAATTAAAAAAAATTTTTACACAATTACAGACAGCAAGAAGTCTGTCAATAAATCTGAGGCAGTAGTGTGAAAAATACTCATTTTTTTTCCTGCTTTATGAAAGTCTGTTTTGCATAATGACATTTTTAGAATACAGAGCTCAGAACTCGTGAGAAAACAGAATGGCTAATCACGTCAGCTCACCTTTATCTTAGATAGAAGAGCATCGATGGACAACTCCAAGTCCTTTACTTGTTTGCTCATCTCTTGTTTGCCTTCCTTCAGGGCATTGACTACTTCATTAAATTTGTCCAGCCTAGTTTTGAGTGTCTTCACCTTCATCATACCATCAATTCTATGACAAAATGAATTACAACATTATAATCTTAAAGGCAAAGTACAAACTTGGAACTGTGTGTATACAATACATCAATATATATCTTGACTCATTAACGTCAGCCTGTTGGGGTCTACGGCATGTGTAGCATAGCTAAAATATAGTACATAGATGATTTTTAAGATAGCAATAACTGTGCTGAAAAAAGTAACTGTTCTTAAGGGTGGAGGATCAGCTTCACAGCTCTAGTCATACAAATGGGCGTGGTCGGCAGCCCTTGAGATGACAGGATTGCTTAAAAGGAGTAACTCTACTTTTGTATAACAATTTCAAAACACAGCCAGCTTTTTTCTAAAATTAGCACTAAATCAAAATAGGGCTCCTTTATAGGTGGGCATTTAACACTGTTGGTTCCCAGCAATTTATATCTTACTACAATATTAACCACCTGCCGTACGGCTGATGTAATTAAATGGCCGGATGGTGGCTACTTAAATGTGGGTGCTCGTTTTTAAACGTCCTTTCACACCCCGTTTGTGTCTGCCGCCAGGCGGGGCGCATGAGCAGGAAGTCTGTTAGAAATGTAAACAGCCAGCTATAGAGCTGCCCGATCACTTTTATTATGTGATCCGGAGCTCCACTGTGCCGATGCACATTAACAAATTAAAGTTGCAAAAAAAAGAAAGTCGCATATAAAAATGTTTTTAAAAAACAAAAAAATGTTTAAAGTCCTCCACCCTCACATACACTTGCAAACATGCGTCTGGTGTGCCTACGAGCGAAAATGATTATTGCGCCCATTACGCCACACATTACATATCACCGCGAAATTCAAAGCGTAAGAAATCATTCTAGGGCCATCAATCACTGATAACACTAAATTGATGAGCAGTAAAAGCTTTTGAAGCGTCGCTATGGCCAATTTTGGGTATGGTAGTTTTTTGCAATTCCGCGCGTGCTCAATGTTATGGCTTGACAGGTTTGGTGTCTATTTACCCAACATAGTCCCATCTTTTATATTTTACCAAAAAAATTGGTAATAATAAATGTTTCATAACATAGGGAAAATAGTTTTTTTTCTAAATTTTCGGTACTTTTTTCCGGTCATCGACTGGTTAAAGGGTCTATTAATAAATCTTCTGTCCACTAGAGCAGAGGGGCATAGGAATTCCATGTGTTTCTTGGCTCTATATAGTTGTGGGAATGCTGTGCGAACTGTATCTGCCCAATGTATGGCTGAGGGGAAAATTTAAAATAACATTTAAATAGACCCCTAAGACTAGTTGTGTAACTGTGCCAGAAGACCTTCAGATTTTGCACCCATAATGTAGCTGAAAATAAGTGGGAATCCACCTGTAAATTCTAGTACATGTGGCAGCAGGTAGGACAGAAAACCCAAATGCTCACTTATATTTCATTGTCTTACTATTTGCACTGTTATTTTGTTTTCGCTTTGTATCTCAGAGAAGAGCTGCATCTCTGGTGAGTCAGTGAACACTTTATGACGCAGGTATGTCTTCCATTTGACATTCAGTTTTATATTTGCTGGTATTTGTGGCCTGGAGGTGTCTGCAAGCTTTACAGCTATTAAGACTTTCTGAGATATTATTGGCAGGTAAGAAATCCTGCTTCAATATTATATGTATCCAGTCTAAATGGTAAATGTGTATATGTATGTGCTATAATTATAATTTATATTAGAATTATAATGCAGTTAAGATTTCTAAAAATAAGTGTATATCAATCTTTCCATTTCCCCTGTTTTGGGTGAATCTTTCCATTTCCCCTGTTAAAATTAGCAAACTTGTGACTACAAACACCCTGACAGATTGTTTGCAATGCTGTAATCATGACTGACAGCACAGAGCAGGAACGCCTTGGTTTTGTGAAATGAGGCATCACCAGTATCCATACTGATTGCTAATATGTGATAAAATGGAAACTTTTAGTTTCTCTGGGACAAGTAACAGAATATTTTGTTTTTAGAAATGAAGTTTCCCGTACTGCCCTGCAGTCTGTTGGCTAATGTGGGCTGTCTATCTATACACTCCATAGGCATCTCGGAGGATACTACCCTGGCAGGCACATCTCCTAAAGTCCTCCTAAACTCCTTGTAAGGATGAGCCTAGACATTAGATGGCAGTTACAACAGATGAATCAAGAGAACATTTTGAGCCAGCTAAAATTTATCAGAGCAACAAGTGAACAGATAGCTTGGAAAACCTTGTTTTTCTCCTTGATAAGCCAGTGGTGTTGATATTTGCAGCACACTACCCTAATTTCCCTCCACCTTCCTCCTTTCCCTCAACATTAATGGTCACAAGATTACATTTTCTTTCTAATGTCTAGCTTGCTCTCCTCCTAAAGGTGCCCATAAACCAGGGATGGCCAAACTCCGGCCCTCCAGCTCTGGCGAAACTATAAATCCCATGAAGCATCTCTCTCCAGGAGTCATGTCTGTGGCCGTGAGAATCTTGCAAAGCCTCATGGGATTCGTAGTTCCCACCACAGCTGGAGGGCCTCAGTTTGGCCATCCCTGCCATAAACCATTGAAGTCCCCCTAATGTGTGCAGCATGCATATTAGCAACTGACTTAGGGGTGAGAGACAAAAGTCTTGTCAGTCTTGGCGCATATTAGGAATGCCCTGGTAGGGCCTATAGGTATACAAACATTCCCCAGGCTAACTGTAAATGGCTGGATTGGTGATTAATTTTTCATGATAGCAGGCACTTTAAAGCCAAACTCCAGGAAAAGTCATAGTTTACACACTGCATTTGGTGTGTAAGTTATTGTTAAAAGCTGTAAGTTAAGTGTGGAGGGCTGCTGCAAAGTGTAAGATTCTTACCTTGTAGCATGCTGGCGCCTACACATAACTCTTGGATTCCAGGTGCTGCGGGAGGTGAGGGATGTGACTCAAGCAGTTAAGTGCTCTGGTCGCAACTTTTGCCCCTCTTCACTACGTGCCCATTCACAAAATGCCTTGTATTTTTCTCAAAGAATACAAAGCATTTTTTGAATGGAGAAGAAATTATATTACATCCCCACCCCTCCTCTCTTCCTTCAACCACAGAATACCTTGTATCCTTTGAGAAACATACAAGGCATTCTGAGAATGAGCAAATAGTGAGGAGGGGCGAAAACATGTGATCTGTGGATGGGAACTCCCACTCATGCGCCCATCAAAGCATACTGATATTTCTATAATTCTTTCCGGGAGACAGCCCACTGCTTACATCAGGGCTGATGTAAGGATTACTGAGCATTACTGAGGCTGGGTGATTCCTCGTTTGCCCACCCCCCCCCCCTCCCCCCTTTCCCAGCACCACAACCGGCCCTGCCTGCACTGCAAATAAAAGTATGTTGGCATGTTTATAAGGGAGGGGGGAGGGAGGAACCAAGGAAGGCAAAATATAAGCAGGGCTGATGTTAGGATTACTGAGGCAGCGTGATGTCATGTTTCAAGGAGCTATGTGGAGCATCCTGTTCGACCCCCCCTCCCCCTTTCCCAGCACCACAACCGGCCCTGCCTGCATTCCAACTAAAAGCATGTGGGGGGGGGGAGTAAGGAACTTGGGAAGTAAGGCACATGGGAAGTAAGGAGTAAGGAACCTGGGAAGGCAAAATGTAAGCAGATTAAACTGCAGCTTTAAACTAGTTTAGAGACTGCACTGGTATCTATGGAATGCTTTAGAGCAAAGCAGACACCACTAGCCAATTAGCCGTTCTTGGGAGGACAGCTGACAGGCCATATAAGGACCTATGTTTCATGCCTATGTTTTGCAACTAAAACAAAAAAAAATCATCTTTATGTCATGCCATCTGATGATTATGCTATGATATAAACTGTTAGGGAAATCCACAAAAAGCTGTACAATATGAGGATTTTCATGCATTCATGTTCCAATGAGTATCACACCTGTACGCATAAGCCCGAAGGTGGAATGCAAGATGAATGTCTAGTATTTCATTCTCCTGATTTTCTTTATGAATGCAAGCAGTGATCTATGCAATGCAAACTATGAAACACAAACAGCATCTGCATCAATAAAAGCAGTTGTTAAATTGTAAAAACAAGATGATGGCAGCTTCATGTTTATTTTGTTTGCAAAAGGAAACATATAATTCAACCTGTCAGCTGATTGGGATGAATCGCTCAATCTAGAAATCTTTGATGGCTGCCTCATTTCATACAGGTATTGAACACCTGTTTTGGATTATAGCCCTCCATACCCCCAAAAAATCAATCCGTGATTGTCAGAGCCTCACATGAGTACAAGTCGCTGTATCATTTTGGTGAGAAAATAAGGCACATGTGACCAGAGAAGGAGAAAATAGATTTCATTTTGAAAGCAGCCTCCATCCTTACCGTGGTTTGTGTTTCTTTCTGCAGAGCCACATCCGAATAGTCTTTTGCATTTTAATGCAGGCAGTAGCTCGGTACTTAATCTTGTTTTTCACTTTAAATCAAAAAATAAGAAAAGTATTTTTAATAAGCAGTTATTATCGTCTGAATTCAAAACCACAACATTTCAGGAAAACAAAATAAATAACTGAAACATCCTTCACCACACACTGTATTTCCAGGGCCAAAGAAATCATACACCCAAACTGATGTATTCTGGGGCTGATTTATAACAATTGGCAAAATTCACTGAGAGTTGCTGCCCATAACAATCAGTCAGGATTCTTGTTTAATGTTTAACTAACATTAAAGGTGAAAGCTAAGCTTAAAAGAGGAAAGTCTGTTCATTATCACATTGGATACAGTTTCGTCCCTAATAATGGCTGTTGCATGTTGTGATACTGACTCCAAAAGTGTTCTATAGTTTCTTAGTAGCAAAGTCATCCAATGAGATATCATTGGGTTGTGTCTGATGCCTAGTCTATTGATGCTGTGTTTAAATATATTCCAAAAGTGTTACACTGCAACTTATATCCACCATCACTGTGTAGTTTGATCTAGAATTCACTGAACAAAATGTTTTTCTTAAGTCCCAGTGCTGATATTCTTAAGCCCATCCCAAATGTTTCTGGTCATTTAACATGCATCATACCCTGTGCGGTCATGTTTGCTATTAGACTGTTAATGCCAATATTGCCACTCATTATGCACTACACTACTGGTACAGGTACACCACAGTGCCACTAAGATGTGAACTGCTGTACTGTGGACTAGTTATTTGATATTACAGCTTTAGTTGCCCAGCACTCCATATTCATTCACCAAGGGGCATCTCCCATAGAAAACATAGTTGATCATGTGTCTTCTGATCAACGGCCTATATGTTTTAAGACAGCAGTCTTATAAAACCTCAGAAATCGTGTTGTCCTGCTGATGCACAAGGTCACCCACTAAGCATCATGGACCACACTATTCACTGTTAGGTAACAAAATCTGTTAGGTGACATTCATCTGATCACATGCACATGTGGAAATGTAGTTGTTGCATAGCTCAGCTTAGGCTGTTAAGCAGTTCTAATAGCACATAACAGTAAAAGGCAGAAAACTTCTTTGGCAGGTCTGAAAATTCTATCTTTCTGGCCAATTAGTGGTAGTGACCATAGCAGCCTCACAATTTAGGTTCATCCCTAGGAAATGAAGTGGGTGGCCTCACTGACCAAGAAATACGCACAGTACAGGGAAGGAGATGGGCAAGGGCTTGACTGCCCCCAGAGAAGTTGGAATTTGCATATTAGAAGACAGCAGTGATACCCATGAAGATATTAAATGGCATGTGGAGTCACCTCCGCATTTTATTCCTGTAACCTCTTTGGAATGTTTTGGAAAGATGCAAAAAATATTTAGCTCTTGCACAGGTCAAAATTAATAGCATGATATAATTGTGGAAATTAAAGCAATGGCTGTAAGATACTTTATCTGGCTCAAACTATTTTTTAAATACATATTTTATGTACTGTATGCGAAGGCAAAACATTCTAATTTTGGGTAGAATGGGAAAGTCAAATAGATAGACACCATAAGCAGACGTTGTGATCCTTCCCTCCCCAAAACAGAAAAAATGTCCTGGCTGGAATTTCACTCAAACTATAAGATTGTGATAGCTACCAAAGAGCCTGCAAAAATCCACACATTTAAAATATTTACCTAAGAAGAAACCCAAAATGAATGAATGAATTTCAATTAATACTAAATAAGCACTAGTGCCCAGTAAAAAGAAAAAATGGGTAGCTGCCTCATTTCCCACCCTCGGCTTATATTCGGGTCAATACTTTTTCCCAGTTTTTTTTGGTAAAATTAGGTACCTCGGCTTATATTCGGGACGGCTTATACTCGAGTATATACGGTAGATAAAATTATTAAAGTTCATTGTTTTTCTACTTGTTTGTTCTAGAATCTGCATTCTGGCCGTTGTGAAAACAAGAGCAGGATGAACTGTACAAGATGTTTTAGTTTTAGAGTGTCAGACAAGTACAAGGTAAGAACTGGGAATTATAGCTTTGAGTGGCCCTCTTTAAATGCCTCCTGCACGATGATAAACAATGTTTTCAAGTGCTTTGATTTCAAATGCAGCAGAGCTGCTCACCTTGAGCTAAGCATGTTCCGAACGCAGAAAACTTTTCAGATTTTTAGTCTCTGCACTTAGCTTTAAAATGTTATGCATTCATTACATCAAGGAGATATTTTTTTGCACAGCTCATTCGCTCAAATATGTTGTTTATGAGAAGGTCTCTTTTTTTTAACTGCAGAAAACCGTTCAACATGCTTACAGACTTTATAAGATGCCTCAGGTGCACACAATTTAACATTTCCACTCTGATATAAACAGGGAGTTAAAAGAGAACTATGACATAACCTTTTTTGGCCATAGTTCTCTTCAGGGTCACAGGAGGACATATACTAATGTCCTCCAGCGACCCAAAACTCAGTAAATAGCGGGCAATGCTGAGATCGCAGAGCCGCGCAGCAGCCGCAACGGATCCCGACAATACAGTCGAGATCCACCCTACTGGCTGATTGACAGCAGGGTTTGCTTCTGTTCTGACATCTCTTTATGTATCCGACAGATGTTTCTATAAACATGCACACTTGTATTACGCATGTATCAAGCATGTTTATTTGATGGGAGAGGGACAATAAACGCATCTAGATCTGGCTTATTTTACTGAAACAATAGTTGTCAGTTGAAAATATCCAAAACACCCGATTGTGTTTTCTTTCAAATTCGGTCATCTATAGACTTCTTTTTGATGCACCCATAAAAATGTGAATTGTCACCTGATTCGCCCAAAAATCAGACCAGGTGACAATATCAGGTCATCTCATGTCTGACTATACTGCCATGGGCAACTGTGAGGTATTAAAGCATCACCATTAGCTAAAATGTATTTCTGTTCATTCATAGTACACAGCACATACTCTACTGACATAACCACTAAAAAAGAACTGCTTGGGACTTAATATAATTCAGCTAGTGTAAGGCGAAAAAGTACTTTTAAAAGGATCATAATAAAAGTCTGCATGGTTCTGAATAAGTAACTTTATGCATTCACATGTTATGTTTCAACAAACCATAATGCACCTACATTTTATGACTGAAAGTGCACACCACTGGACCTTCTTCCAACGACTGCAGATAAGCCAGTGATTGACACGTTTTATCAGTTCCGCCAAATGTTCTGGATCAGACTTCATAATCTGATCAAACTCAGCAAACTAGAACACAAAGTGCAATGTAATTTCAGTGCACAAAAACAATATAACTAGTAAAGCTTAGTGAAAAAAAACATTGATCATCATTACAGAAGATATGCTGGAAAGCTTTAATAGCATCAAGAACTCTTGCATTAAAAACTATATGATAGATGTACATATACTGTACATGATCTGTCAGAAAAGTGGGCAATTCAAGCTGAGCACGTGATAAGAAAATGCAGTGGTTAGCTTCAGTAAGAAATATGTTAAAAGAAAAAAAAAATCAGTAGCTTCAGCCATATAGTCAGAAGCAGATATATAAATGTATACTTCTCCTGGAAAAGTCAATCTTGCCCCCACCTCGTCCCGATATCCTATGAAATGCACCAATACAGATGCTTTGGAGGCAGTAAAAGCGGGGCTAAGCTCATATACATTAAATTTCTCATATATAACATCAGCTGCTTGCATACTCAGATCTACTCTACTGTTCATTTAACACGAGTGCAGCATCATGTGCTTAGTTTAACCCCTTCGTGACGGGAGACGTACACTGTACGTCCAGCCACAAAGGGACCAAATGACTCGTCACGTACACTGTACGTGACGAGTTATTTGCTGCACTAGAAGGCTGCTAACCGCTGAGAATCAGCGGTTACCTTTCAGTAATGGATGTCTAACTATCTAGAGATCCATTACTGAAAGGGTTAACCTTTTTCAGACACCCGATACCTTAATATCGGGTGTCTGAGAGTCACAGCAAAGCAGACACACATGTCGGCTTTTGCCGGCATTCTGACAGCTCGTATAGATCGAGAGATATCTCTCTCAAGCTATACTGGCTTTTTTTTTTAATCTTTTGACTTTCAAGAATAGATACAAAATGTTATGTATTAGACACATAATGTATCTATTCTTGAAAGTAGAATGTTTAAGTTTTCTGAAACATTCACTGACAGCTGAATCCTGAACTGCTGCAGGATCAGTGTCACTAACTTATTATCGGCTGTTCTGAAGTTTGAAGCAGCCTGATAATAAAAAAAATGTATTAATTTATCAAGCAGTAATAGTGAGATTAATTCACAATGACTGCCTGATATAATTAAATAAATAAAATTTGTCAGTATAAAAAAAGTGAAAAGTGTAAATAAATAAAAAAAAATAGTGAAAAGTGTAAAAAAATTAAAAATAAGGGACAAATAAATGAATGTATGTATTGCATTTTTTTTTAGCTGTGCTGGTTTTGTTAAAAAAAAATACTACAAATCAAAACTGGGAAAAAAAGTTTTTTTTTACGTTTTTTCCTCTTTTTTTAATTTGTATTTGTCCTAAGTGAGGCGTTAGACACACATATGTGATATAAATATATAGCCCTATCTGTCCTCAAAAAACAATATATAATATGTGTGGGTGCACTTTGTAAGAAAGTATATTACTGACGTGGAAGAATCACACAGCAAAAATGTCAAAAGTGTGTCAGTCATTTACGAACAGAAACCAAAAACAAGCTCAGTCATGAAGGGGTTAAATCAGCCAGATTAGGGGCAGCTTTATTTAAAGATGCTAAAAGAAATCGTTCCCAGAAAACCGATGAAAGTTACATTGAATTCCCAACTTTCCAAATGTTGTCCTTTATCCATTGCACAACACAAGTCTAATCCATCATATCAAACATTTAGTGCAGTCCTAGAGTTATAGGAATGTCAAGAGCTCCTTAAAGGTATCTAGTAACAAATGGGGTGGGGTACCAGGTGAGCTACTGTCAACAATATAACAGACTTTAAAAACCAAGATGTACCAGTCCTCTCATAATAGATAAAAGGCACCCATAGACTTACAGATCATATATTGTTTTTACTCTGCTACTTGACTTATATTAAAGCCCAACTATAACTTCCTCAGTAATTACACAATGATACTTAAGGTGCTAAAAAGCCCCAATTCTTCAAGCTTTAGTTGTGGCTGGTAAACTCTTAACCACCTGTTTCAAAGTCCGTGGCTGGACAGGAGGCTGCAAAGAAGACCACTGCTATTGTGAGAGAGAGCTCCACGCTGGATTAAGCTGGCCATACACTATTAGAATTTTGTTCCAACATTCACTCAAAATCCTTCTAAAGAGCATTTGATGTTGCCATCGAGTCAACTAATTTAAAAGGCCTTACATTTTTTTGTATCTAGACCTGCTACCTGAATGGAATCCCAGATGTATTAAACAGGCTTATTTTGTGCCTAGCACATGCACATTACATCATGTATAATTTTTCCCAACCGAAAAGCACATTTACGGGTAGAATTTTGTTTGTTTAGAAACAAGAAAACATTTTCATCCTGCTCCTTCGATTTTTCCTCCTCATTACTCTAGAAAATGAATGTCAATAAGACCCCACCAACCATTAGAGCCAGAAAATCAGCATGGAGCATGAGCTCTCGCCCTAGCTCTGACTCAACAGAGGAGAGTGATAGACCACTGCTCTCACAAAAATAGCAGGTCCTCTCTGCAATCTCCTGTCCAGTCACTGAATTTGCTACAGGTGCTTGAGATTAATAATCAACCATAAGCAAAAGAGTAAGACTTGCAAAATTAGTATTTTTAGTACCTTGGGTCTAACTATGTAATCTTTGATGAAGGTACAGTTGGGCTTGAAATTGATTTAGCAATGGGATGTCCTGTTTTATGGACAACAAGGCACAAATCTAATCAGTAATCTTGATTGTTGACTGCAGATGTCTGAATTTTTTGACCTCACTGCTGTCTGCATTGCTTTAATAAAACTGATCCCGGACTTGAAGCAGAGAAGAACTAACACAACTGAATACTTTCTGGATTCAGTTCATCGTACAAATGCCACAGACCTGCCATTAACAGTAAGTTCATACACAAACATCTAAGGACTGCTGTTTGAGTGCACTAGTTCCTGTCAGACCAAAAACAAGATCTCATAAAGACTGGAATATTATGCTACTGTGTGCATTTTTTTCTCTTATGCTGTCTATACACAAACTCTAAAAAGTAAAAAAGCCTGGTTTAACAGGGGTGGCATGGTAAAATGGATCACACTAGTCTAAAAGTTCTCCAACAAGGCCTCCTTCACAGTTTAATGATGTGATTTCAGAGAAAGGAGAAATCAGTGTAATCAAATTAGGTTAATTATTGCTATAACACACATAAATGTTTTGACAAACTATGCTTGATGCCATCTGTGTGCTTGCCAGGATCTCCTAGGTCACATAAGCACTGTGAGGGTCAACCTTTCGCCTAAAATTAACACTTTCAAATAATGAGCGGCAAATCCGAAATGCCTTTATTTTTTATATGATGTCTTTATACTTCTCTGTCCTGACACAGCCCTGCTGAATCAAGTTATGCAATTTGTGATTGATGCATCACTAAATCCTGTGTGAGCTTCTTTTCATGTAAGCATGCAACATGACAGCTGTAGAGCATACAATATCAATGCACCCTCAGACCAACTAATGATTCCATTCATTTACAAGCCTATTCTGAAATGCAAGAGTAAAAAGAGAAATATTTGCACATGAAAGAAAAGGTTAAAGCCACAAGCTGAATAAATCATCTTATGATTTCGAATGCCTGGACTGCTATCATGGACTCATCACATTTAATATTGAAAAAGGCACTTACCTTGCCAGGCCTGAAAAACACCTTAGTTAACCCAAATTTGTAATCATTTTCATTTAAGCCCAAGGCTTTGAACAGAGCCTGTAACATAAAAGAAACATATTAATAGGCTTGAATTTATATCCCCTAAAAAAAGCTTCAAAGCGCACAATAAATTATTAAAACATGAGCAGTTTAACTAGATGATTTTGCACAGCATGAAAAGGATTTTTGGTACAATTAAAATTGCTGTTTCTGTAGAAGAGATACCTTGCAGAAAAGTCTGGGGTCCAGACGAGACAGCTTAGCAGGCATATACTTTTTGTACATGTTATAAAGTTCATGGAATGAAGCTCGAGATGGGAAGCCTCCCTGCATGAGATCCAGGACAGATACCATTCCTGGAGGGGAAAGAAAATTCACTAGATGAATCCCAAGACTAATACAGGTTAGAGTATTAACATATCCCAGAATGTGTTCATATTTAAATCAGTATTCTGGCATTTGTAACATAAACCTCAATATAATGATCTGTTTTAACCACCTAAAGCACCTCTGTAAGCCAAACAAGCTTCAAATCAGACATTTGATAGAAAAACTATGCAATATTTACAGTAATTAAGCCTTAATTTCATGTGCCATGATGTTTTACACTTAGTCTATAAACCACATGATAGTCTACGTCCTATTAAGCCACACGTGTGCTGAGCAGAGTATTCTATGCTTTTGATAAATATACACTATATTGCCAAAAGAATTGGGACACCCCTCCAAATCATTGGATTTAGGTGTTCCAATCACCTCCATGGCCACAGGTGTAAAAAAATCAAGCACCTCAGCATGCAGACGCTTCTACAAACATTTGTGAACGAATGGGTCTCTCTCAGGAGCTCAGTGAATGCAAGCGTGGTACCGTGGTAGGTTGCCACTTGTGCAATAAGTCCATCCATGAAATGTCCTTGCTACTAAATATTCCACGGTCAACTGTTAGTGGTATTATAACAAAGTGGAAGCAACTGGGAACAACAGCAACTCAGCCACCAAGTGGTAGGCCATGTAAAATGACAGAGCGGGGTCAGCGCATGCAAAAGGGTTTCCGTGGTCGAGCAGCTGCATCCAAGCCTTACATCACCAAGTGCAATACAAAGCGTTGGATGCAGTGGGGGAAAGCACGCCGCCACCGGACTCTAGAGAAGTGGAGACGTGTTCTCTGGAGTGACGAATCACACTTCTCTGTCTGGCAATCCATAACACTTTCAAATAATGAGCGGCAAATCCGAAATGCCTTTATTTTTTATATGATGTCTTTATACTTCTCTGTCCTGACACAGCCCTGCTGAATCAAGTTATGCAATTTGTGATTGATGCATCACTAAATCCTGTGTGAGCTTCTTTTCATGTAAGCATGCAACATGACAGCTGTAGAGCATACAATATCAATGCACCCTCAGACCAACTAATGATTCCATTCATTTACAAGCCTATTCTGAAATGCAAGAGTAAAAAGAGAAATATTTGCACATGAAAGAAAAGGTTAAAGCCACAAGCTGAATAAATCATCTTATGATTTCGAATGCCTGGACTGCTATCATGGACTCATCACATTTAATATTGAAAAAGGCACTTACCTTGCCAGGCCTGAAAAACACCTTAGTTAACCCAAATTTGTAATCATTTTCATTTAAGCCCAAGGCTTTGAACAGAGCCTGTAACATAAAAGAAACATATTAATAGGCTTGAATTTATATCCCCTAAAAAAAGCTTCAAAGCGCACAATAAATTATTAAAACATGAGCAGTTTAACTAGATGATTTTGCACAGCATGAAAAGGATTTTTGGTACAATTAAAATTGCTGTTTCTGTAGAAGAGATACCTTGCAGAAAAGTCTGGGGTCCAGACGAGACAGCTTAGCAGGCATATACTTTTTGTACATGTTATAAAGTTCATGGAATGAAGCTCGAGATGGGAAGCCTCCCTGCATGAGATCCAGGACAGATACCATTCCTGGAGGGGAAAGAAAATTCACTAGATGAATCCCAAGACTAATACAGGTTAGAGTATTAACATATCCCAGAATGTGTTCATATTTAAATCAGTATTCTGGCATTTGTAACATAAACCTCAATATAATGATCTGTTTTAACCACCTAAAGCACCTCTGTAAGCCAAACAAGCTTCAAATCAGACATTTGATAGAAAAACTATGCAATATTTACAGTAATTAAGCCTTAATTTCATGTGCCATGATGTTTTACACTTAGTCTATAAACCACATGATAGTCTACGTCCTATTAAGCCACACGTGTGCTGAGCAGAGTATTCTATGCTTTTGATAAATATACACTATATTGCCAAAAGAATTGGGACACCCCTCCAAATCATTGGATTTAGGTGTTCCAATCACCTCCATGGCCACAGGTGTAAAAAAAATCAAGCACCTCAGCATGCAGACGCTTCTACAAACATTTGTGAACGAATGGGTCTCTCTCAGGAGCTCAGTGAATGCAAGCGTGGTACCGTGGTAGGTTGCCACTTGTGCAATAAGTCCATCCATGAAATGTCCTTGCTACTAAATATTCCACGGTCAACTGTTAGTGGTATTATAACAAAGTGGAAGCAACTGGGAACAACAGCAACTCAGCCACCAAGTGGTAGGCCATGTAAAATGACAGAGCGGGGTCAGCGCATGCAAAAGGGTTTCCGTGGTCGAGCAGCTGCATCCAAGCCTTACATCACCAAGTGCAATACAAAGCGTTGGATGCAGTGGGGGAAAGCACGCCGCCACCGGACTCTAGAGAAGTGGAGACGTGTTCTCTGGAGTGACGAATCACACTTCTCTGTCTGGCAATCCAATGGACGTGTCTGGGTTTGGTGGTTGCCAGGAGAACGGCACTTGACTGACTGCGTTGTGCCAAGTGTAAAGTTTGGTGGAGGAAGGATTATGGTGTGGGGTTGTTTTTCAGGGGTTGGGCTTGGCCCCTTAGTTCAAGTGAAGGGCACTCTTAAGACATTAGCATACCAATACATTTTGGACAATTTCACGCTCCCATTTTTAAATTCCACTGCAAAAGTGTAAGTGCTTTTCTTTTTCTTCTGATCATGAGCAATCATTTCTCAACCTTTTTTTTTTCCAGTAATGACATCCATTAAAGGTATCCAAAATCGCGAGACAATCCAGTCTAAAATATAATGACTGTTAATGGAAAAACAATGTTGTATGGACCCCCAAAATCAATACCAGACTCTTATCTTAGATAGGGTATGGTACAGATTTTAAGGAGTGACCCCATGCAAAACACACAAAAAAGTGTGGCCCCCCTTTCACATCTGGAGTCCACAGCCCCCTTCACATTGGAGAGCAGCCTGTGGCAGCATGGCATTGGGCAGCAGGTAGAGCAGGCCTAGACGGATTTTAATTTGTCTTTTTTTTTTTAATGGATATCACCCTCCCTGGATTAGTGCTATTGGTTTCCATGGTGTTTATGGCCAGCCCACCTGCACCATTGAAATTGCGCTGTGCAAAAATTGTACTGGAGAAAAGCGCATTAGTGCCCTAACTTTGGTGCTTGCTCTCTTGGTAAAACTAAACCTGTAATCTCCCCTGTAATGTGCATTTTGCTGGAAAGGTGTCAGTCCTTGTAAGTCCTGACTTGCTGCTCTATGTTGGTCATCATAACTGATGACATGAGTTATTGGGTCTGCAGTCTGGACATGGGTCTGCATTCTGGCGAGCTGCACATATTCAAATTTGAAGCAAGTTTAGGTTCTTATTTGGATGATCCAATATGGGATCATTAAAGAAAAAACGCCAGGTATTTTTCAAATTAGTCCCTTGCAGTGGAGCTACCCCCACACTGCAAAAGTTAAGTGCTCATTTTGGTCTAGGGATGAAAATAAAGAAAATATACTTACCTGATCCTTGGTCCTTCGGCAGTGGCCGCTCACCTCTCTCCCCCTCCACTCCAGCTGTGGTATGTTCCTCAGCATCCTCATGTCCAACGGATCTGCATCAGATATGATGTCACAGGCCCTTAGACCACTGGAGCCCGGGAGAGAAGAGGCTGTGGGGACTCATCTAGCAGCCAGGCGGGACTGAGGATCAGGTGAGTATCTTCGTCCCTAGACAAAAACGAGTACTCAACTCTTGCAGTACGATAGCCCCACTGCAAGGGTTAAATTGAAAAATACCTGCAGTTCTTCTTTAATTGATTTCTTTAGTAACCACTTCATGCAAATAGCAGAAAGCAAATCGTATAACTACATCTTAAACAAAGTATACAGACCAGGTCAAGACTCCCGATCATCACTCTGAACCTTAAAGTGGCACTTCCAGCAATACCACAGTACCCAATAAGCAGAAACAATGATAAGCTCTAAACAGCATAAAATTAGTTATTAGCAGATGAAGAAGTTTCACATTAAAGAAAAAGTCTCACCATTGTATTATTTTTCACAGCTCAGTTACCTAACTCTCATAGTGTATGTTGCTTTTTATGCCATGCTTCTGTGTGCAATACAAACCGAGTTACAGATTTGACAGTTCAATCCTTCATTCCCGACCACGGTGCACAAAGGAGACGGCTTGTTGATTGACAGCTCTCATATCACTGTCCCTGCACATTCCCAAAACAAAACAAGGCTCCCCTTTTAGTTGTAGTGCTGGTGCTGATTCCTGTGAGAGCATGCCCCTTCCCTCTGCATTCCTGTGACCTCGATTGTGTCTGAAAAGTGCAGATCAGTGGGATAGCAGATGTCAATAAAGAGTCCATTTACTTTACAGAGTGGGGTCAGGAATGAAGAGAAGTGAACTGTCAAAGTTTGTATCTCAGTTTCTACATCACACAGAAGCATCAGAGTTAGGTGACAAATAATACAAGGTGAGACTTCTTTAAGTTCCACATCCTATCACACTGCTGGCTAGCTGCTCCAAACATATTTCTTTTAATGGAACCACCTGCATAGCTTATACCACACGGAACGTGTCAGGAATAGCAAGCTGGCATTTTGAGGTACCAAATTAAGGATCTTGGAGTCCATCTAATAAGGTCAACAGTGCACCCTTCTCTCCCCCACTGCTGTTCAATCTTGCTGGTGACGAATATCTAATGAGGTGTGATCTAAAGAATCTCTGGCAGTACGCGAGTGCTGGAGAAGAGCAGGCAAAGGGAGCAAACACCGATCTGCACTGTCTGCACAAAAACTGCTCTAACTTTTGTTATTACAAGCGTTCTAGTAGGATAAAAATAGAGCTGTAGCATTGCACACAACACACAGAGGAGAGGGGGAAGTAGCTACATTGCTGTGCTGTTGCTACCTACAGAAATGTCCCAAAATTGGGCTTTAGCCCTGAGTGGAGATGAAAGCCAGCAGAAACAGAAAAATAAATGCCTTTTTATTTAACAATAATAGCCCAGATCAGAATGGGACCAAGTACTACCTCTACTTGATCCCAGTAAAATTCAGCAACATTTTTAAGTTGTGGTGATAGTTCCAGTTACTAACTGAAAATGCTCTCAGACCTTTTACAATTTAAGCATCTACCTGAATCCTAAATTCTGTTTACTGTGGAAGGTGAAAGCAGAGCACTGTAATGTATGTAGATGGAACTGAGCACATTATTGATGTAATATATTTAATGCCTGCCCTGTACACGTGCTCCAGACCGTTAACATACCAGGAAGTATTTTAATTACAGGTGAAACTCGAATAATTAGAATATCGTGCAAAAGTAATTGCAGTAAGTGCTGCAAAAGGGGCCCAAACCAAGTACTGAGTACATATGCATGCTTGTACTTTTCAGAGGTCCGATATTGTACTATGTACAATCCTTGTTTTATTGATTGCATGTAATACTCTACTTTTTTGAGGTTGTGGATTTGGGGTTCTTGGGGTTTTCATGAGCTGTAAGCCATAATCATGACAATTATGACAAATCACGGCTTGAATTATCTTGCTTTGCATGTAATGAGTCTATCTCATATATTAGTTTCACCTTTTAAGTTGCATTAGTGAAATAAATGAACTTGCACGATATTCTAATTATTCGCGTTTCACCTGTATGTTGGACAGAAAATAAGACACTGCTGCTTGCACACAGCACTATATAGCACTAATATGCAAATGTTGAATTTTTCCTAGGAAGCTGAGCTGCAACCTTCTATAACTCCCTTTGGACATTGTGTATGTGCTTCCCCTGTAGGTCCAACAGAGTGCTGTGGCAGGGTACAGACCAACCACAGACTACTAAAGAAAAAGTCATACATTGCATATAAATCAGCACCAGGGTCTGCAGTTCCAGTTAAGCCGAAGACACTGAACAGAGGTATGTGCCTGATGCATGCATTTAGGTACGTATGTGAATGTACATGGGGAGGGGGTCTTTTTAGAAAATATGGGGGTTTTTAATGTTATTTTAAATATTTACATTTTTTTTACTTAACTTTAGTGCGAATAGACCCCTATGTGAGAGCACATAATAGATGACAGGTTCTCTTTACGAAGACATTAAGCATCTATTAGATCCCTAATGACACCATTCTACTCCACTGAAGCTGATCAAACACAGAGAATGGGAAATGTGACAAATGCATAGTCATTTCTGGGTTCAGTCACCAGAGGGGACATCAGCAATTGGATGTTCACTGGCTCTCCTCTCCTCTACCAGCTAACACTTGTCATACCGATCTCAGGTCCACAGGAGGGGCAGCGTAGCCCAGAATACATGACGGAAAGAAGGGGGGGGCATATTCCTCGCTGCCCAATTCATAGAGCAACACAGCGGTGTAGTGGTTAGCACTTCTGCCTTGCAGCACTAGGGTTCCCAAATTTGAATCCCTGGCCAGGTCACTATCTCCAAAGAGTTTGCATGTTCTCCCTGTGCTTGCGTGGCTTTTCACCAGGTACTCCGGTTTCCCCCCACACTCCAAAGACATGCTGGTAGGTTAATTGGCTCCTATCTAAAACTGGCCCTTGTATGTATGCATGTGAGATAGGGACCTTAGATTGTAAGCTCCGTGAGGGCAGGGACTGATGTGAATGTGCAACTATGTAAAGTGCTGCGTAAAATTGGCAGCGTTATATAAATACCTGAAATAAATAAATAAATTTCCAACCCAAAGCCAACAGTCGGCATGTGTATTTGAAAGCCGCAGCCACGTGCCATATGGCAACGGCAGCGAAAGGGTTAAAACTAGCAAAAGACTATGCCAGAAATTCAAACCTCAAAAAATGCATAAAACAGAACTATTTATATTCCCCAGTAACTTTTTTTTAAAGCTCAGAGTGAAAAGAAACATTAAACAGCAAAATTCAAAGATTAAGAATGGCCTCCTTGATCACAGCAGAAAAAAAATCATAAGCCATATCTCCAGAAAATGTGACTTTAATTATAGCGATTCACAAAGGGTAATGAGTGAATATGCTCAGAGCACCAATTGAATACTCCTAGTAAGCTTAAAATTGTGAAAATCAACAGAAATTACTTTTCTATGAAGCTCTTATTCAAATGCAGGTGAATGCATTGGAAATAAATTGCCTGGGGCATAAGTATTATTTCTTTTGATGTCATCCTCTCATCTATAGCTTAGCTAAACTGAAACAAATCCTATAGAGGGAATATGACAGTGAACCGTGAAATAACCGTCCATATACACAGGATGCAAGGCCAATAAGCTATCCTTAGAAAAAGTATTATTTCATTCAGTAGCCAAAACAGTACATTAAACAATGTTAACCAAGAATAGTGTTACTACGGTAAATATCAAGGTGGTGTCCTTAAGTTAATATTATTGATTCATATTTATCGATCTATCCATGATATATTTATTTATCGATCTATCGTTCTTTTACACTTCTATCAAAAATCTATATGGTTATGCTTTCTACTTTCATTTTAACAAGACATACAAACTTGGGGCTACTTGGTTTGTAAATCCTGGGCTACAAGGTGTCAATTTCATATAAATATGAGATAAGGTGATCTTGCTATGATGAGAATTTATTTACATTTCAGTTAACCTTGGGCAGTAAATTAGGATTCGTGTTCTTACCGTTAAATCTATTTCTTGGAGCCCATAGAGGGACCCAGGAATTAAGAAACTGTCAGGTGATACAGTTGCCTACAGGAGGACTGCAAACTGGCAGACGAAAAAAAGTTGGACCGGGCCAGTATCACCCCTCTCTTTTTCCGGCACACCACAGTTTTGTCAAGAATCAGTACCAAGAGCAAAATCACAGACTCAGAGGAGTGGGACCTGTGTCACTCAAGGAACTCCAAGAAACAGATTTTACAATATGTACAAAAATCTTATTTTATTTCTCATCTATTGAGGCACTCAGGAATTCATAAATTGTCTGAACATCCAAAAGCAGTCCAACTGAGGGGAGGGCAACAAAACACTATCACCAATTCACAGTGTCTATCCCTCAACAACCATTCTGTTTAAGGAGAATTATGAGGCGGGTGATTTTCAATCTGAGCCGACCTGTGACAATGAAACAGGTCGGCTCAGTAGATCGGGAAGTGAGCAAACACATACCATCGCTCGCTCACTTCTCGATCTATCCCTGCAGAGAGCCGTGACTGTCACTCACGGCTCCGTGCAGGGATTCCCCCCCTCCCCTGTCCGATCCTCCAGCGCTGACTGGTTGAATGGACGGGGGAGGGGCGGGCACAGCTGGCTCTGCTTCTGGATAGTTAGAGCCAGCGGTCAATCCAGCAGCTGGGTGGATCCGTTCAATCCAACAGCAATGTCGGGATCCGTTCCGGCTGCGGCGTCTCAGTATACCGCGAGCTGTAGCTTGCGGTATACTGAGCTTTGGGTCACGGGAGAACGCTTGTTTGTGTTCTCCCGTGACCCTTAGGAGAACTATGGGGAAAAGCCCTGACCCCATAGTTCTCCTTTAAATAAAGTAACTGTGAAGCAGGATAGTAAACCTGTCCTTGAGACAGAAGAACGGGATGATCAGGAAAAGCCCATGAAGCATTTGCCAGGAGTTTGATAAGGTCAGACAACCACATCTGCCTGGGCAAGTCCACAGCTATGAGGATCACTGAAATGCCTCCCCCAACTCGTTACTGCAAAGCAGCCAAGAAAGGAGTTTCAGGGTAGAAAAGGCTGTACTAATCACCTAAATCAGTAAAAGCTTGGTAGAAAGTTGTTCGTTCTCCAATATAGTTTTCTGTCAGTGCTTTTTATCAACAAAAGATGTGTCACACTGTATAGCAATGTTTCGGAACCGAATAGGTCCCTTCTCCAGGCAAAGAGTGTACCCGTCAAGCAAAGGTGCATATATGGGGATGAAAAACTCTGGCTTGACCTATGTCGAGGAAAAAACCCAGATAGTCTAAACAAAGTGCTGACTTCTGGAGTTTCAGGATGCGCCCAAACTTCTGCGGGGTTTAAACAGTCAAGGCTATGTTGCTTGCCCGAGGCTGTGCTGACTGTTACCTAAACAGAAGGTTGTCCAGATATCCCACAATGGGGATGCCCTGGGAGTGCAGTAAGGCTAGTACTGGAGACAGCACCTTGGTTAATAATACCTAAGGTGCAAAAGATGGGGAGAATGGCAGGACCGCAAACTAAAAATGCTGTGGACACACAGCAAAGCGAAGCAATTGCTGCTGTACTGGAAAACCAGGGACATTTATGTACACGACGATGTCCAGAGAGGTCAGAAAGACTCCCCAAAAAAGGGAGGCTATGACACACCTGGTGGATTCCATACAGAATTTCTGTACCCAAATGAAGACATTTAGGGCCTTGAGATCCAAGATGGGCCAAATGCGCTCTCTTGGTTTGAGAACTGTGAAAAGCTAGGGCAATGACATTCTTCTCCAGGAGACCCGATAGGGCTGAATGGGGATCTGCTAATCTATGCAGTGACACAGGAAGGTTGGACTATATGATGTGGGGAGTGTGCTGAGAGGAAAATTCGAGCTTATAGCCCTACCGCACCTAAGAATCTGAAATGCTTCTTGCCCAAATGTTCACAAAGGCTAACCGACATCTCCCACATTAGAAAGTGATGTGAAATAGGTGAGGTTTTTTGTGCCTGGAGTTGGGCTTTAAACATTCTACAGTATGGAGAATGCATAAAGGGAGAGGGATTTGGAATCACGGAGGCACATATGAAGCTAGCAAGTGAAATAAAAGATTTTACACTACTTTGGGTAGAGTTAGCCTTTTGAGTGTCCAACTACAACATGTTGGACAAGTAAGAACAAATTCTAGTGCTCAGCTAACCCAGCCTGTCTTTCCTTTCTTTGGGCCCAGCTAGGCATTACTCTTTTATTTATAAACTTCCAAAATATGATCAGCATTTGATTTGTTATTTAGATGAAAGCATAAATATACTGTGATTTGCATTCTTTAATAAAACTTAGGGAAATAAAATTAACATTACCTGAACACTGAAGCTGAGACAGAATTTGTGCTCCTTCAAACTGATGACTTGTCATTTTTAAATTGGGCTTGATGCAACGGATGAAGCTAGATCCCTGTGGGGAAGTCAGTAAATAATTTGTATAAGACACTGCCTATTTTACGGCTGCACTATGTTAGAATCAAAGTAAAAAGTAGGTCACCACACATTGCAACGTGCATATGCAATATAATTAACAGTCACAAAAATGTAAAAGAACAGAGAGCCAAACAAGAATTATAAATGATGCATTATTTTGAATTTCAAAACAGCATTTCAGCAATGCAAATATTTTATACTGCCTTTTTCTCAACTATACTGATAAAGATCTAAAAACCACAAGGGGCGATAAAGAAACTGTCCTTATGATGCATACAAGTGACACAAAGAGACTGTGACTGTCCTTCAGATTATACTATCTTTATTGATTATCCAGACTTGGCAAAACTTTTCCAGTGTTAGTGATGAATGTCCATAGACAGCATGTAAGTAATCATTGTTAATATACAGTTTTAGAAAACTATGAAACTTTTCACTAGATTGAGAAGAAAAAAAAGCTATGCTTCCTTCTTCAAAGGTTTCCTTACGAAAAAGATCTTTGGCCATAGAAAAAAAAGCACAAAGGTTTTTTTTTACTTCATAAGAGTAGTTTATTGAAGTTTCTGTAAAGAAAACACTTAAACATTACTTCCACTACAGAAAGCTTGTTAACACCAATATTTTATCAATGTTCTTAAAGAACTAGTGATGATTCCAAAAAATGCATTAAATACAGTGAAGTGAAAAATTAAGTACACCCCATAGAAACTGTTGACATATCTGGCAAATATTAGATCTTTATTTAAATAGGACCTACAAATAAAGGTGATATACTTGAATAAGAAAAAAATGCCTTTTCAATCATTAATTTAACAGAAATGTTAAAAATATTAATAGCTGTAATGGTGTACTGTGGAAAAAATTTAGTGCACCCTTGGCATCAAAAGCTGGTATTGACCCCTTTAGCAGAAATGACTTCTAGTGAGAATTTTGTATAACTGGCCACCAGTCTTTGATATCAACTTCTCAATTGCAAGATGTTTGTGAGTTTCCTTGCATGAATCACCCATTTCAAAGTATCCCTACAACATGTCAAATGGAACCAAATTGGGGCTTTTACTAGGGCAGTCCATAACCCTCTATATCAATGGCTGCGGGCTACAAATATTTTCTTTAGCTTGCAGGAAACATGTGTACTATTACTGTGACAAGAGACAACTCTATCTTTGATGGATCAGTCTTCAGTATATAGTTCCTAAAGACTTAGTCTTTGCCTGTTTATTCAGGGGCAAACTGTAATCTTGCGCTCATGTTCTTTTTGGAGAGCTAAGGCTTCTGCTTAAAGAAAATGTTTAAAGGAGAACTATGAGGTGAGTGCTTTTCACTCACCTCATAGTTCTAGCTGACCTGTGACAATTAAACTGTCACAGGTCGGCTCAGTAGATCGGGAAGTGAGCGAACACATACCGGCGTTCGCTCACTTCTCAATCCTGTCATGGCAGAGAGCCGTGACAGGGGAGGGGCTGGATTCTTCCCTCCCCGCTCCGATCCTCCAGTGCTGACTGGCGGAACGGACGGGCGAGGGGGCGGGTACAGCTGGCTCTGCCTCTAGATAGGTAGAGCCAGCTGTCAATCCAGCAGCTGGGTGGATCCGTTCAATCCAACAGCAATGTCGGGAGCTGTAGCTCGCGGTATACTGAGCTTTGGGTCACCTGAGAACGCTAGTTTGTGACCCCATAGTTCTCCTTTAAATAAAAGTAACTGTGAAGCAAGCTGTAGCTTAGGGTGACGGGAGGATGCTAGTTTATGTCCTCCCGTTACCCTAGGGAGAACTATGGGGGAAAGCCCTAACCACATAGTTCTCCTTTAAACGTTTGTGTAATCCCCCAGGGAACCAAGCATATGTAAAGCAACTCGATCACTTCTGCAGTCTGCAGAAAGTGTGCCCCTCTGCCATGTATTCCCAGGCCCTGCGGTCACTCCTGGGTACCTGGGGTGTCCATGTCAGATGTCAACAAAGAGAGCAGAGGACAATCAAAGAACATCCATGAAGTCGGAAGCAAATGAGCTTTATTTCACTTACGGTTTCAAAGCTGCACTTGATTAGCATCAGCTAAGTGCAACGGTGACATTAGGAGTCTTTATAATATATCCTAATGTCTCCTTAAGGAGAACCTGTCACACCCACTGTGCTTATCAGCCCCCTAAGTGATTGCAATCAATTTAAGTAAAACAAAAAATAGATGAAAAAGGTTATTGTATGTTAAACTCATAACAATGGGCCACACAGCTTAAGTAACGCTGCACATGCTAAAGTGAGAGCATGAATGCTAAGGCCATCATTCACTGTTACCTCTAAACTGATGACCTGTTCACGGTTTTAAAGTGTCACCTATGCCCAATCTTAGGTAGCCCTGTTTGGCGCTTTAAAAGAGCGTGCAAAATCTTAAAGTTTGACAGGTTTGCTATCTATTTCTTTCCAAGCAACCTCATCTTCTATATTTTGCAAAAAAAAATAACTAAGAAAATGTGTTTGTGTGCACTAAAATTAACTTTACCTCATTTTCTACTGGAAATATGGGTTTGATAAACCATTGCGCTAATATCATGTGATGTAAAATTTGCAACTGCCACCATTCTATTCTCCTCCTCCTGTGCTCACAGAAAATATATACATTTTGTGGGGTTTTAAGTAATATTCAGGCCTAGAATGTTTATTTTAACATGAGGACAAAAACAGTTTTTAAAAATATGTCTTATTTAACGTTAACCTGCATACTCATTATGAAGGTTCTAATTATTCGCACCTAATATGGTGAATTAATCACATTTCATGGATCTGAAGTGGTGGTAATTGTATGGGTGTACTTACTGTTTCCATATGACAAAACTGAATTTTTTTAAATATTTATTGACAGAAGATTGCCACTCAAGTGCAAGCACTTTTGGGGGCTACACAAGGTCCCCTTCATCAGGCTCAAAATGCCTGATAAAGGAGACCCTGTGTGGCCCCGAAAGCGCTTGCACTTGAGTGGCAATCTTCTGTCAATAAATGGACATTTCGGGTAAGGAGCGCAGCAAGACATGTTTTTATTATTTGTTCAAATATGTCACCTTTATCATTAGGCACTAATTGAATCAAAGTCTAATGTTTGCCTGTTCAATATGTTGAAGAAGTCAACAATTTCCATGGGGTGTACATACATGACTGAATGTATTATTTGATAATTATATAATACATTTATTCTTTACAACCAGCCAGAAAGTTTTCAGATCGAATTCCGTAGCTTTAAACTAAGTTTTTTTCTTGAAGCAGGTGGAAATCTTCAAGCTCAGTCTCAAGGGCAGCTCAACCAAAGAAGATTGAACTCAATATAGTTTTACTTTATCCTTTTTATCTTTCAAATGCTATTCCTGTCTTAGTGTTACTGGAAGCAATCAAACTTACAATCACAACTTTCACATGAATAAACCACCTTTCATCTTTTCAGGCGTGGTTGTATGTTGTAAAAAAAAATAAAATCACTTTTTCAGTAAGCTGAATAACTTTAAAAGCAGTTATAATTACCTTGACATCTATCCATAAAAACAAACAAAAGTCCCGCCAGAATCTTAGCAGAGATGTCTTCTCCCCCTGCTCATCCTCAGTCAGGGAAAAAGAGTTAGATACACCCAAAGCTAAGTCTGCACTGACCTCACCCTACTGCTCATTATGAAAAATTTGAACAGAATGTAAAATAGAGTTTTTTGTAATAAGTACATATTACAGGAAAGTAGCAAACTGACATTATTAATTGTAAAATGCGTATGAAATATATAGCATATCCAGGGTATTTCTTAAATAAAGCAAGAGCTTCACTTCATAATAGATTAATATATATATCCAGACAGAATGTTTAGAGTATTTACTGTGCTCTGTGCATCTAGGATGAATAGTAAAAATTCTCAAAGCTCACAACAAAGACTCTAGGGTTAACATTAAAAAGGAGCTAGCATGCTGTCAGCATTCTGCAGCAGTTTAAAGAAGCAATAGAAATAAACCCTAAGATTTCTGTGCCTCTTTAGAGTACTTGGAAGATCAATTTCACCACAATGTCTAGAACTACAGAGGTGAATGATGGTTGTTTTAAATTGCTTTTACTGCTTGTTCAAAAAATATAAATACTTTAGTGTGCATAGCATGGTAGGGGTGTATTTTAAATATTGCCAAGGGTGTTCATTACAACTATTTGCACAACAAAAACAGAGAAGTACAAAACAAGAAAGCACTGCCATTTCCTTACCGTGCTGCGGAGCTTTTCAAGCAGAAGATTTAACTGGGTCTGCAAAACAAAAATAATAACATAAAATTACAGGACAACAAAAGCAAATACATTTGACCACTGTATACAAGCATGCAGCATGGTGACAAGTTTGCATGCATTAACTGTCAGCAGTGCATGTTCTCTCGGTGTTCACATGGATGTGCAGTCAAATCAAAAGGATTACAGAAGCTTTTAATAAACAAATATTAATGTGCAATGCAGATTTTGCTACTCACTATTCAAGTGATGAATAGTTGACCTTATAACTATTTTCTGTAAAGAAAGCATAAAATCACTAGGCAGAAGAGAAGAGAAGAAAACACTTGGCAGCGGGAAAGGCATGATTGTGAATAACAACAGTGAAATCTTTTGTCTAGGAATAATATTTTGCGCCCCAAATACCAGGACAAGTGGATAAGTGCACCTGAAAAAAGTCCTACACCTTGATCAGTTTCAAAAGACAGTGCAGTAAGCCACAGGGGGCTTTTAATGTCACACCATATTTTATTTTTTGTGCTTTGACTTATTTATGTTATAATACCACAAACTCTGTGTAATGCTTATATCTAAAGCACACACTAACCTTTTTTTAGTTTTAGTTTTTGCGAGGACTTGAGGCCTGCATGGAGCCTATGATCATTTTAGGCTTTGGTTAGAAAATATTTAGGACAACTGATCTAAATCTGTCTAAGCCCAATTTGCACCAGGCTGTGCTCATCACAGTTGCAGCTCCCCATGCATATTGCTTAAGGGCAGTAGTCACACTGTGAACATTCACTTGGCTGTTTTGTTGACCTACTGCAACCTACAGGTCCCAAATTTCTATGCAAATCCTGACTGTGATCAAGAAGATACTCCCAAGTGATCTAAGCAAGACAGGACCTGAAAAAGCGTTAGGTGCAAAAATAACGGAAAATCATTCACCATGATCTTCTTCTTACAACTTACAGTTGGTAAAATACATTTTATTTATTCACTATTGGTATTTTTATAGCCCTGACAAATTATGCAGCGCCTTACATAGTGCACATACACATCAGTTCCTGCCCTCGAGGAGCTTACAATCTAAGGTCCCCATCTCACATGCATACAGGGCCAATATAGACAGGAGCCAATTAACCGACCACCATGTCTTTGGAGAATGGGATAGAACCAGAGTACACGGAGAAAACCCATGCTTCTCTCCCTGATTATTTGTTTTTGGGAGACACACAGAATAAGATTACATATCAACATAATATATTCAATAATAGGTTGCATTGCATAACCTCTTAAAGCATAAAAAAAGGCAGATGGGGTCTTTCCCTGTTATTTTATGTAAAACTCTAAAAGGTAAAAAAGCAGAAAAATGCTAATTAAAAATTCTACAGAAATAATGATTGTGTTTTTTTGCTTTTAGGGCTACAAATAGCCCATCAGCATGTTGAAATAACAGATTTCACTATAAGATTAAATAAAGACAACGCACTACCTGGAGCTAGAAAATTAATTCATACATAAATATAGAGGAACATCACCAAAAATAATTGTTTGACTTGGTCAAGTCAATTGTTTGAATTGATAAACCACATTTTTTTGTTCTAACTATATCATTATATGGAGAACTAACTTTTGTACAACACTCTTATTATATTTATTCAATCTATTATAGACTTTTATGCATAGGTGTTCAGAAATTATGTTATTAACATTAGTATTTTACTTTTGCGATGTTTTTTGTGATAGTTTACTTTTGTGATGTTGGCTGACTTTTCATCATGACATCTCCCCTTGATGCATCACTCTGGATGTATCAGCTCTCGTCTAAATTAATGTCTTCCTGCTTTTCATACTGCAGTGATAGATTAGGAAAGGAGGAGTGCCTCCAAATCCAGTTGCTAATATATCCAAACCTGGAAGCAGATACATCCCTCTGATTCTGAGGTCGCTTCTCAGCAATGAGGAGGCCACTATTTCACCTACCAGCAGGTCCCTTAGTTGTTTAACCCAGAGCAGCACTTATACTCTGCCGCTGGCTATGGAGGAGGAAGAAGCTAGTAACTACATATGCTTGAGTGGATCTATGCTTTAATGCACTCATTGGTATGCATCTTTTATGATCTCTTATATACAGTGCCTATTTTCTCGCTATGCAGTAACTCCACCTTGCCAGGATAAGGTCCATAAGAACAAGCAGATAACTTTTATCCTGATACATGACGGTACGCCTGGCCTATACTTTGACTAGTGAGGGCATTTTTAGTCTTCCTTTTTTCCATATATTTTTTGTAATGCACGAGGTGCTGCACCCTCTCTTATTTTGTTTTCTACAAAATAATTGTTTCTACACTTAGGAAATGGCAGCTGGAACCAGGTGGTTGGCGTAGACATTTTTATTTGCTACAGATTTCATATATCGGCCCATATATCCGTTAGCCAAAATAATCCCGATATTAAGGCCACTGTTTTGTATTAATTAAACAACTGTCATGAAGATTCTAAAGTTGTGCAAAACACTTTATGCGTTATGTACTAGTGTATAGTTGACTTTAGGTTGCAGACATGCGGCATTTATATGCAATGCACAACACCACACATGTATAGTGTGAACAGGGCCTATAGAAAACAAATGTTTTCTATATGTCAGGCATTTTTATGTATTAGTAGAGGTTTTAAAGGACTAAAACCTGGGGAAATTTGAAGATATTGCAAATATGTACTGAATATGTTTACTTTTTTTTTTAATTGTGCCTTGAAAAAAAGAGAACAATGATATAAAAATTAAGTTACAGTTAAAGTGAAGATACAGTTAAAGGAGAATTATGGGATGAGTGAAATGCACTCACCCCATTGTTAGAGTCAACTTGTGACACTAAAGCTCTCATACGTCAGCACTATAGCTCGAGAACTGAGTGATCACATACCACTGATAATTCACCTTACCATCTTCTTCCTGCAGAGAGCAGTCGCCGCTCGTTGCAGGGATTCCCCCCTCACCTTTCTGTTCCTCCAGCACTCATTGGAGGGACAGACAAGGGAGGAGGTGGGCACAGCTGGTGCTGCCTCTAGAGAGGCGGATCCAGCTGTCAATCAGGCAGCAGGCAGCAGGGTGGATCCCAACAATATTGTCCGGATCTTTCTGGGCTGCAACGCGGCTCTGCGCTGTCAGCATATAGCGGGCAAAAGCCCGCTATACACACACACACACACACACATACATACATACACACACACACTGAGTGAACAGATTATTATGACCACCCTATCAGTACGTCGTTAGGCCACGAGATGACTTTGTTGGGCCGCCACGTGACTCTACGAGATGTAGAAAGGTGATGCAAGGAATCTGACACTGCACTGTTGCCCTTCTGTTGTCTTGTACCAGTCTTGCCACTCTCCGTTCTGCCCTAGCATTGACTAGTCGCTGACAGCCACAAATCGCATGTTCAGACCCAGATTTTCAGCTGACAGTCCAGTCTTTAAACACTTTAACAACAGCTGCTCTTGAACATTTAACTAATTCTGCTGTTTTGCTGATACTCGCTCCATGGCTCAGAGCGCCAACAATCATCCCACGTTCAAAGGCTGTTAAATAGCGTTGTTTACCCGTATCTTCAGAAAAAAATCACTTCTACTGTCGTGGTAAACAACCTGCTTCCCTATTTATAATGGTCTGGCCCTCTAGCAACTTCAGCGCGAAATTATAGCTAATTATAGCTAATTTGCCTACAAACGTCAGGTGGTCATAATAATCTGGCCACTCAGTGTATACATACATATATATATATATTTTTTTTATATCATTATTTATTTATTTTCTTTTGCCTTGACAAGAAAGGGAGGAAACAATGACAGGCCTTATTTATCTGGACTGGCAGATTAATGCAAAATGAAATGACAGATATGGTTAACTATTAAAAATAGAAAGAAGATGCCATTATGCCAAGAGAGATTTTTCTTACCCTAAACTTGTTCCCCACACTGATGAAGCCGAGTTTCCCAGTCTTCTGCTTGGATTCCTTGTTATTATTGGCTGATTCAAACAAATCCCGTACAAATTTATCTTTGGACTCACAGATGAGGGACTCAAGTGACATATGCAGAGCATCATTATTCTTTTCCACAAATTGAGTCTAGTGGGATTTAAAAATATATATTTATAGCAGAAGTTAAAAAAAATGATGAACAGGACACGGTTTTATTTTTTGTCAATATTTTGTATAAATGCAACTCATATAGTGTCATTTAAACTTCAATAGACACATCTGTACACTAAGTTTCTACATGGCTTACAGAAAAATGCATATACTTCAAGTACCTTACCCAGACAAAAACACACCTACCCAGTTCCTTCTCCTATTATTATATAATTTATTCCACTTTTAGAAAACTCTACTTTTAAAGTACATTTGCTCTTAAAGAGGAACTTTACCCAGATCTTTAAAATAGCAACAAACCTTTAGAAATGTTTAGTAGTGACAATCTACAAACATATACTTCTAGATAATTGCCAGCTTTTTTTTTTTGCAAACCTTATTTCTCTTTTCTTTTCCAGTCTTCTGGCAGTGGCCATGTTAACCAAGGGCAGATTACGAACTCTTCATTTACTTCCTGAAAATCTAGCACATGTGACTAGACATGTGACCGTGCACATCATCTCAGGGGAGGAAAATGCCTTTCCCTGAGATATCGTGAGATTAAAGATGAGATTTCCCAGCAATGCTCTGTAGATGTAAACTTCCCAGGATGCAATGCTTTGGCACATGACATCATTTCTGCCAGAAGTGGACCAGGAAGTAGATGTACTCTATTTGTAAGTAAATGAAAAACAAGTTTGTTTAACTAATGAATGTAAGAAGATTTTAAACCAGCATGCAGAGCTGATTTTTATTGAATGGGGGTAAAGGTGCACTTTAATTGTGATTATTTTTTTTTATATTTGGTTGTTGTTAGTGCAAAGGAAAACCTAAATAAAAAAAGGCACAAAAAATCCAACTCTGTATTCATTAATTTTGTATGTATTCAAAAAAAAAGTCATCCAAACAATGTAATCTCCTGAATTTGACATGAGATTAGACGCTTGCAGTCCCTGTACAGTACAGCTCAGACTGGGAGAGAATGAATCAGCACAATGAGCAATCAAGTATGCTAACATGAGATATGGTGATAAGAATAGAGAACAGGGTGAGAGTTGAGCCAATCAGTGTGCAGCTTCCCTTTTCACTGTCCAATCATAGTTTGAGAGGGGGAGAAGACCCATAAGTGTTAATTTACTGCAGCAGAGAAACAGCAGGTGTTCTGCCCTGCCTGACAGGGATTTGCGGTGTTGCAGAGCTGAGTAAATCTCCGGACTTTATCGACAAAAATACATATCCCTTTAGGCAGGAAACGTAATCTCACTTGTATTTCATCTGTGTATTTAGCGGTTTGCCTGGATCTCAGCCTTAATACAAACGCACACCTATGAAATGGTCAGGGGGGTGTTTTATACTTGCCATGCTACTTCTTAGCAATAGAGGGTAAAAATGAATAATAAAACATATGGTAAACATATCTGTTCTGTTTTGAACTGCCTAACTATAAAATCTCTGTAATGATATTATTGCCTACTTTAAAATATGATGGCAGTTTCATTGATAAAAATTGGTGGCAACCAAAACTATAAAAATTTAAATGATAATGTCTGGTTGGAAAATCTATAATAAAAACGGTGCAATTGGTGAATTGCAGTATTCTTATCTTCTCAACATTCTCATGGAAACAGAGTTGAGAAAAACCCTGCAGGCAGCAGTGGGAGTAAAGAAGTACTAAGTTGTGTTTTATTATTAGAATCATAAATGTAAAATACACAGTTATATAACATGTAACTGAAACAACCTTCTGCTGAATGTTCTGAACATAAAATGCCCTCAGTGTCACTAATTTAGCTTTGGCTATGACCTAAACATCTGAATCTACAAGACGCTTGCATTGTTGTAGAAAATATTTGAACACAAAGAAACAGTGATAATGTAAATGTAATGTACCTTAACCTAATGTACATTACAATAACCTATTATAAATGTAATGTACATTAACCCATAGCAATCCATCACCTTTCAACATCCCTGATTTTACTGCATTTAGAACAATGAAAGCCAACTAGTGGTGGACTGCTATGGGTTACAGCACTTTGCACATAAATCTTTATACACTGGTTTATTAGTACAATTCTTAAGGTTTAGCAATCAACTGACAAGAAAGTTAGCTTAATGAGGATCTTTACCCATATCTTCAAAATAACAACAAAGCACCTTTAGAAATGTTTAGTAGTGATAATCTACAAACAGATTCTTCTAGATATTTACATGTTTTTTATTCTGTGCATGTCCTATTTTTTTTCCATCCCCAGTCGTCTCACAGTGGCCATTTTAACTGAGGGCAGATTACTAGATCTCCCTTAACTTCCCGGAACAATGGCACATGTGACTAGGACATGTGACCATGAACATCATCTCAGGGGAGGAAAATGCCTTTTCCTGAGATCTCATGAGATTACAGATGAGATTTTTCCACAATGCCCCACTGATGTAACCTTCCCAGGATCCAACGCTTGGGCACATAACAACATCTGTGCCAAAATGGACCAGGAAATGGAAAAAAAACACAAAATTGTAAGTGAAATAAAAATATGTTTGTTTAGCTAATGAATGTAAGAAGATATCATATCAGCATGCAAATCTGTTTTGCTGATGTGATTTCTGGTCAAACGGGGTAAAGGTCCACTTTAAAGGGGTTGCCATAAACAGCATTTATTTTTCTGATGCAGTGGCCCAATGAAATGTTCAGGTGGATTAGGCCATTTAGGGTTATCCTAGGGAATGGGGTGGGGGGTTGGACAGCAATACAGCAAGTTCTTTTATGGTCAGAAATCAGTCAAGGTGCATGATTAACTGCGGTGGATCCCAGTAGTAGAGCAGCTGGGTGGATGAATATATGCACTATATTTCTTGTGAATCAATAGGTACTGTAGCAACTACAGATGTCAGGGTTTCTTCTAGATGTATAAAAAAAAAAAAAAGCCCAAAACATAGTAGTTAATGCTTTCATCTGTTTTTCAAAACCAAACTGAGCTTTGTGCGTATGACTGTAGTGAAGATTTTAGACTGGGGTCTTTCCGTGACAAGGACTAATGAGAACTGTTCAGTAAAGCACAGAATAAACTAGTGCTACATAAATAAATACATAGCTGAAAAGCATAAACCTGAAATTTGATTTCGCAAAAGAAGCAAAGATCTGTACGTTTACATAAAAATGTGACTATAGCTATATTAGATGTAATAATTTTCTTCTTGATGTAAAGCACCAAACTGTACTTTAGAGATCCAAAAATAGAGCGCTTAGATCTAAAACGTGCAGTTAACTTATCAGTACAGAATATTGGTAAAACATAAAAGCATCATTAAGGTAGGAGGAAGTACAGATGAACAAATTGAGATACAACTATGTTATGTGTTGTCATTTTCTCTGCAGAGTGTAAGTCCTTCAACCATGACAATATGTCTTCTGACAGCTGTACATGCTCCTCTGCAGGACACAATGTTTCTGTCTGGATTCACTCCGGTCTGAGACGTGACATGCATGCTGTCTAACCTCCAATAACAGATCTTCCTATGTACCAGTGTACAACAGGGCTCGAACCTATGAATCACACTTTATTTATTTTTTACAGCGAGCTTCACAAACTGTTTATAAAACAAATATTTTCTCCTGAGACAAAGTTGCAATATATTGTGCCATTATTCCTAAAAGATGAAACTGAACTCATTAGACTGGCATCACAAATAAAAATGGGAACGCTAAGCAACTGAGTTAAAAGTTTGAACTGTGTCAGTAAGGAATTGTTAGTTTTGCGATTGATGAAACTATGGACACATTTTTTTCATGTTATTGTAGATGCTACAGTAACAATTATTAGATCATTAACATATTTAGTTGCAGATTGTCTACTAGAATATCATGCTGAATTGTTTTCAATGGCACAGACAAACAGCTGGTTTTGGATGTGCTACACAAAATGTAATTTAAGTTGTATATCAATTCACGCAGACCTTGAATGTTAAACCAGTGAATATCAGAGTACATTTCTTATTGTTAGTCAAGAATGAAAGGAATGTAAATTAAATCCTTGGATTGTTGATCAAAACCTTCCAAGCTATATGTTTTAGAAGTGACATATACACAATAGTAGCCATCAAGTATTAGACATAAATAAAGCTTACGGTTTCATAGCACACGGCTCCTGCAAAATGTCGGATGATAAAGCCCTCATCGTCTCGCACATTTCGGTGAACAGTGAGTTTGGATTTTCTGGGGATCTGCAATACAAGCAGAAAAAATTGATATGCGCTTGCTTTTTCCATGATGCAAAAAAGTATTTTTTTATTACTATACACAAGATTTGTTTGTGACAAGGTCTCAAAATGAAATGCTACTACTTTTTGCAATGCAAAAAAAAAACAAGTAAACTAGAAGGCAGCATAATCTTTAGCTGTACGCAATGGAAAAAACAAAAGACCAATGATTTCTATTTATCAGGCTTGACTGAGGGTCTTAATGTACCTTTATGGTCAGTGGTTAGCAGACACAGAGCAGAGGACAGTATAATTTCTCTCGTCTTATACCTGCAGAATGCACCTTCTAAAAGGATCTCATTAGTAAAAGAGCAGTGCTTTATGCTGCAGTCATAAAATCATACCTTATCGAGGATAAAATCATGTAATTTGTTTGCCATGGATGAAAAGGCAGCTCTGTATGCTGGCTTTGCTTGCTTGTGAAAAACACAAAATATGCTTACATTTCTAGAAAAGCCTCAAGGGAGGTGTAAAAGAAAAATCTATATGCAGCAGCTTATTGTAAACTTGGTAAATGGAACAATTTATGTGTAAAACACACAATTAAAAAACAAATACTGTAAGTGATTAATTTCACCTAGCAAAACCTTTGTAATTTACAACTTTTTTACATAAAGACCATGCATTTGAAGTCAAAAACTTTATTTATTACATACTTAACTATGTAAAGAACCACTTGAAAGAAATGTATATATGCATTGACTGAATAAAATCAATGTTGTGGAAGAATAAAGTCAGTTGAACTATTAGCCAGACAACAAAAAATGACATCCTAGCATGAGCCTAGTGTGACTAGATGACTCCATGGACCACTTTACAGGGCCACGATTATGATACCTTTAGAGTAGAATGACTGAGGTATTTGGCCTAACACTATCCAAAATTGTAAGAGCTTTTTTCTGTATCCTTCTGACTTGCAGATCAAGATGATGATTTTCAAGGTTATTAGTAGGGAATAAAGCCCATTAACACCTTATTGATTTTCTATGGACTTTTACATTCATGAAAGCTCTTCTGAATTGCTAGCCACCATTGGAATAGGATCCATTAATATATCAGCATGTATTACTCCTATAAAGCATTACAAACTGCTCAGTCTGCGAGCATTTTTTATAAGATGCAGTGATTTGACAAGAAAACCTTTTATCACAGTGTAACCACACTTGTACACTTGTTGCAGAGCAGCACAATGCCAAGCAACTCAGGTAAGTGGGGTGTGCTGCCATAAATGCTACATGCTTCTTTTTTGGTGCGTTTAAGTACACTAGGCAGAAATAGCAGGAGTTACCAGCACCCCGGTTTCCACTCTACCTCATCTTTATGGACGTTGAATAGTCAAAACACCACATTGAAATACTTAAGGGTATGACTATCTTCAATAAAGATGGAATGGTAGAGTGGAGACTGGTGTGCGGATGACTTGTTTTTCTAAATGTGATTATGTACGGCACCATCTGTAGTCACTGCAGCACCCACCTGAGGATCAGGGGTTTATATCAGTCAGGAGTGCAATGGGACTTCTATGGGTAAGTACAGTAGGCAGCTCATTGAAATGAATGAACTGTCTAAATGCATTTTAAACGAGGATCCATAAAGTGCTTAACATGCCTGTTATCGTAGTACAATAGTGTGAATAGGCCCTAAATGTCTGTAATCTACAGGAATGTATGCAAACACACTAGCAGTACCATACTTCCTATATACCATACTGCCTATATATTCCTGTGGTCTGTAAACAGACCACAGGAATATATAGGCAAAAAATGAAACATATTACTGCTACATAAACGTGAGGAGAACCCTGTTAGATCAGATTTGCTAATTAAAGGGAATAGTGGCCAAGCTTACAATAAAAAAAAAACTTTCTTATGGAGTAAAAAGTACCCATGTACAATCATCTTTAAAGTAAACCTCAGCCAGTTTAAAGTCCTGCCTAACAGCAACCACCACCAGGCGCCTGCTCTTGCTTTAATTAATAAGAAAACCAATTCCTGTGCACTGCTCTAATCCTGGTTTTAATAACCATGGGCTTTCCTGGCTTCGGGCCTGCCGCCCTGAGCTTGGCCTGCCTCCCTCTAAACGAAGTGCTATTTTTGATCACTCATGTGCACTTACTGGACAAGTGCACAGATGAGGAAGGGGCTTAGCTTGGGAAAGGGGCCAAGCCACAAAGCAAGGAAAGTAATTTAAGGAACTCAGCCATAGGATGGTCATTGATCTGGTAAATTATAGTTGAATCTGGAAACTCTATATGGGCAGAATTCAAACACTGCAGAAACCTCCTGGCTAATTAATCCCAGTGGAAAAACAGATCATCCTAAAACAGATCTTTCAAACCAATAACTATTATTCCCTTGAGATAAGTGCCAGGGGTGTTTGCTCAGTGCAAAAATAAGTATACTTGGCTGATAAAAGCAAAAGCAAATGTTTAAGTCATTATCATTCATCACCTGTCAAAGGCAGCCATCTCAAGCCTATGGGCATCTTTAAACAGGAAAATTAGATTTGAATGCTACAATTCATTGAATTGACTCAGCGTTAAACATACAAACAAATGTACTAGCAATAGAGAAGCAATACAAATGATGTGAATAAGAAATACATACAATACTGCAATTGAGTAACTTACAGTAAGTCGGAAGTGGTCCTTGTGTTTTTGGTGAACAACAGATGCGAAATGTTGGTCACTAGCCTGGGGCAACCTATTCTCCTCATCCAGAATATCAAGGATACCAACTAATTTAGATTCAATAAGATCTGTATATAAAAAAAAAATGCTTTTTATATACCACAGAATATATTTTACCCAACACAGAATGCTAGCGAAACAACCACAACTTTGCAAGATGCACTACCATTGTCAAGAGTCAAACAATTCTTTCACTAGATAATTATCTTTGGAAGGAGAACCGCATATCTGTCTCAGGAACATAAAGAGGAAATTAAAACCAGGGCGGCATTTATTCCAGACAGTGCACTAAACTTTTTTTTAAATTAGGTATATGCATCTTTCCATAATGCTTAACTGGGTCTCTGACAATAAAAAATAAAACAGAAAATAAAAACCACTGCACTAACCTATACAGTCCTGGTTATCCACATAGTGCACTTCATTGACACCAAGACCCTCTCGCTGGTATAATTCTTGTTCCTGAAAAAAGAAAGACACATATGGGTCCATTTATAATTGTTTCCACGCAAGTACCATACAACTTTCACCGATAAATAACTCATGTTTCCAGTTGAACCTAATTAATAAAATGTATGAATCTTGGTTGAAAATAGTGTGAATTTTTTGAGAAAACATAACATTGATCACAGCATAGGAGAGGAAAATGTCATGCATCCCTAAGACACAAAAAACAAACAAAGTCAATTCAAGGCACAAGGTAACAAGTGCAAAAGTCTCAAACATGTGATAACAAGGTGCTGGATTAAAATATTCAGTAAATCAGATTATAACAAGGCGCAGTGGCTCCAGTAAGGCGTCTTTCCACACAACAGGACCCTTAAAAAGGGAACCCAGAGTTGAGGTTCCACACATACAAAGTCCAATGAGAGTGCCAAACAAAAGGACCAAGAGTCCAAATTATTTTAACATAAAAGAATTTGGACTCTTTGACCTTTTGTTTGAAGGTAACAAGTGCAAACTTTCCTCATTACCCACAACTTATCATCTTTTTTTTAAAAATAGTGTCCTAAACTAGAAGAGAACATTTGCGTTGGAGCACTATGTGTTTCAAAACAATAATTGACCCTGATGATTGTGACTGGTATGCGGATGCAGCTTTTCTAGTTATTCTTTTAAATGCTGCTTTTAAAAAAAAATAAAAAAAATGGAAGAATGTGCACTTTTATTTCATCCTTATATAACTACTAGGGAAGCAAACAGTGGACAACAAAACTAAAAAAGAAATAAAGACCCCTATTATACCCTAGGCAAAAACAGAAGTTTCCCGATACCGACCAATAGACTTCTTAGCTATAAAGGCTGGTAATCATCATTTAAAAATGGTTTATATTCTGTATTAACCTCATAAATGTGTGGGAAGAGAAAGAATGTCTCATTTGAACAGGACTTTCCCTTTTTCACTAAGATAGCGTGAAGAAAACCCTACAATGAGGATACATTCTCTCCTTATACAACATTTAATAAGGAAACATTGTGCAAAGTACCCATAGCAGCCAATGAGAATTCATCTTCCAGTGATCTGACATTACGAAACTAAAAATCGTATGGTTATTTCACTTCACATTGCCTGTTTAATAAGCCCCCAAGTTTAATTTATAGCAATAACAGAACAGGTGTAAAAAGCTCTCAAAGAATATAGCTGGAGCTCTAATTTAATATACTGTTTGTGTGCTATTTTCTAATACATTTCTGGGATAAAAAAAAAGTCCCATTAAATCCTAAGATGTATCACTACTATGGTCATACTTTTAAAGTAAATGAAGTATTCCTTATTCCAACTAGCAGAGTTCTAGTTGAACAGATCAACAGCAAATAAGCGCTGAAGATTTAACTAATCTGTGGATAGATAAGGTTGTCCTAAAATACTAATAATAAAGGATAAGATAAAGCCCCATATATCCTTGTTCAAATTAAAATCACACTCAGAGCTAAGAAACTTTAATGCTTTTTTAATAATCTTTAATACAAAAATCATCCTGTTGGGCAAAGCTACAACATACTAAATGTCCTACAGCATATGAATTTAATAAAAAAAGAATAAGTGCCAATATAAGATCAAAATCAACTGACCCCAATGACTACAGGAAAATTTCAATGGATTATATGGATTGTAGGAGAATTAATAAAAGAAGAAAACAAGCTACTTATTTACATAGCATAATGCACAGAATTCCTTTAAACTCACGAACAAACAGAAAGCCGATATCTAAATATTGTTTTGATATGATATTAAATATCTGTACACCCGTATGTCACCACTGCAGCATTCCGTTGGAACACTGCTACCACCATGAGGTCCCGCTATAGCAGTTGCCTTGGTGTTTGCATCAATGAGTAGACACCCAAATAAAAGTATGGTGTTTATTTTCTTTTTACTCCTTAGTGAGCATACAAACTTACACTAGTAATACAATCAATTTCCCTTTGCTGTAGGTCATGGGGTAACCCACTGGAAACTAATGCACAGAAGGACACAGACTTTTAACCACAAAGTATTGTTATAATGTATGTGGCATTTGTGAGCATGGAACTATTAAAATGGTATGTCCAACCATTACCAAAATGTAACCCCAAATCCCCCCTCCTGCAAAGCATACACCTGCAGTTTTCCTTTACCTTGTTCCTGTACTGATAAACAACTTGCATTACTACCGGTGACAATATCAACAGGCCTGTAAGCAGTAAGCCAGAGCAGTTTATAGGACAGGAGAGTCTGTCAGAAATATTTTTTAAAAGGCAATTGCCTATTGTAAACAGACCCAAATATTGAAAATGAAAGAGGATTCAATGTGATCAGAGCCCAGGGAAAGAAAAACGGATTGGAAGGTACCGATTACTTATTGCATCTTCTTTAAACTAATCCTTACATACAAAAAACATATATGTCTCATCATATGTCTAACTGAAATAATGTCTCAATTCTACATGTAAAATTATAATTGTGTAAGACAAGAATGTATGAAATTTTAATACAGATGTGAGTATTTGAAATATGATCATCTCTAGCTATGAGTTCCTGCAATGCAGCTCCTATTATGTATTGCCATTTTATGATTTTAAGCTTTATCCCTGGCCCTTAGCAGAATGTTTACAGAACATGTTGTTCAGTTTCTAGAGAACAGGTGGCTTCTCTCTAACTGCATTTATGTCTGCAGTCAGCTCCAAGGCATTGTATAATGTCCAATCACTTTCCAATAGTCATGTGTGAGCACAATACAAAGGTTACAAAAAATAGACTCTTGAAGAAAATGGTTTTATAAAGTCAATGTTACAAAGGATGCAGAGCCAATGCAAGTAAAGCTTTAAGGTGGAATAAGAGTCCCGCACTTTCATTCCCGGCATCCCACAGATGCCAGGGATGGATGTGTACCGTATATACTCGAGTATAAGCCGAGATTTTCAGCCCATTTTTTTGGCTGAAAAGTGCCCCGCTCGGCTTATACTCGAGTCAGCGCCAGCGCGTCTTCTTACTTACCTCGCCGAGCGTCGCGTCACTGCTGCTCCGGTGTGCGGCGCTCCGAGCAGGGTCATCTGGCAGTCTCCGGGTCCTAATTTAGGTGGCCGGAGACTGCCAGATGACCCCGCTCGGAGCGCCGCCCACCGGAGCAGCAGTGACGCGACGCTCGGTGAGGTAAGTAAGAAGAAAATTTTAAAAATCCCGCAGCGCCAGTACAGCAGGGGTTTAGCTGCCTCATTTCCCACCCTCGGCTTATATTCGGGTCAATACTTTTTCCCAGTTTTTTTTTGGTAAAATTAGGTACCTCGGCTTATATTCGGGACGGCTTATACTCGAGTATATACGGTATTCTATTATTGTTAGTTGATGCAAAGGGCAAGATCTTTGGCTACCTCCAGCCAGCAAATAGAAGCATGCTCTAAATAGAAATGGCAGCGCAGGGAGAGCTCTACCGTGAATGTCCACATATCCATTTTTAGGCAAAGTTAGGCAAAATATCCATTGTTTATTTTCTTCTGTAGCAAAAGACTTTGCAAAACAGAAGGTATTTTCTTATCATCACTTACATTACTAATCTAAAAATAGGGGTTTAGTTTTCACTTGAAGTGCATGTCAGAGCAAAGAAAAAAAATATGCAGTACATATCTGCAAAGTATGCACATTTCCTGCATTGTATTCCTTTAAATACCTACAAGTATAGAAAAATATCTGATCTGCCGGAAATGCACTCAGCTTCAAACTCCTGTTGAGGGCTGAAAATCCACAGCATTTTTGTGGACGGAGTTTTGTCACCAAACTACTCAGACCCACTTACTCTCCAAACTTCACAACATACATGCTAATCATTCTATAGTCCCAAGACAGGAACGAAGAAGGATAATTTACACTCATTGAGACAACACAGGAAGTGAGTGAGTAGTAGACACAGGACAGCTCTGACTTTATGGCATGACCAACTGGATTTTCTTTTACCTAACAGATATAACAAAATGTTTTCAATTATATATTTAACAGACCAAAATGAGGCAAATAAGAGGCATTAATTGTTAGGGTTTACATACACTTAAAGGACAGTGAGAGGGGCCGTGCAAATCCTTCCTTTATGCCCCTGGGTCAACTGTGCAAAGAAAACTGTTGGAGTACTGCACATACTTCTAACTGCATATAGCTTGTCAGGTGTATTCGCCATAATCAGGGCAGTGTGTGGAAATCATGGTTTCCATGCAGTAGGGCCTAGGAAGCAATCATATATAATAACTGGGGGATGTTATGGTTCCTTTAAGACTACACCACCATGGGGGGCGTGGCTTGTCGGCACATGTGAGCGGAAGCACATTACGGATCTCCGGCGCTCAATCCTGCTCATCCTCCTATACCGCTCGTTTCTGCACCCCCTAACTACATTAACCGATATCGCTCTCACCCGGGAGTCCTGCTTTGCCTGCCAGCGGGACCTCTACAAGTCAAAATGACAAAGACCGGTGCTGCGGCCTTGGAAGCAGGCTCACGCTTGCAAGATGGCGGCGGCGCCAGATCGCAGACACCCCGCAAGACTAAGATGGATAACGCTAAGGAGGTGGCCTCGAGGCTGGAGAAATTTGCCAGGGGTACTGCAAAAGGTCAGTCTCGCTTATATAAAGCTGGGGATGAAGACGGTTGTTCCGCGCTACCGGCCCACCGTGCAGAGGACGACTCTGTCACCTCTGATATTGAGGAAGACCCTGTGAGTCCCCCTCCAGCTCCATCCAAGACACCCAAGTCTCCCAAGACCCCCATTACATCCTCTGACCCCACTCTTAAGGATGTCTTTGCGGCAGTCCAGCTGTGCAATACATCCCTCTCATCCCTGACGAAACAAGTTCATGGCATGAGGGCGGACATTTCATTCCTCCGCCATGATCTCCAAAAGGTCAGGGGGAAGACCAAAGTGCTAGAACATCGGGTGGGGGATCTAGAGGACCTTACGACCCCACTCCAGGCTGACCTAAAACTGGAACTGCAA